AAAAAAAAAAAAAAAAAAAAAAAAAAATGGATATTAAAAGTTTTCGTTTTGATGAATGTTCGGCGGTACCCACTTATATATTGTAGCACGGGCGAGGGTAAATTTTTCTTTCGACTTTTGCAAAACTTTTCGTACCTACGTAAAGTTTTCGACGGGAATTAACTGCCTAACTAACGAACACGAACCGCAAGCAGTGATCGAACGCAACGAATAAAACCAAAATTATTGTATTCCGTACGCAATAATAGTGCTTGTATTAATTTCTATACGCTTTAACGGTTATTTACGAAGTACACAATGACAGTAATCATATTGTACGTGCGTTGAACGCAGTTAATGCAGTCAACACGTCCGCGGAATATGACGCCGACAATAATACCGACGGACGGCCCAACGAACACCGCCAGACCGCGAAATTAACTCGTCCGTTGTTCGGTCCGCCGCCCCGTCCTTTAACGCCCTTTGCACCGGCACCCTTGACGGTAAATCCGCGACATTTACAACGGCCAGCCGCGGGCGCGGCAGGTAAGCAATTCGTGATTTTACGAGGGCCGAGACCGCCGAGCGAGTGTATTTATAATACACGCCGGACAGGCAATAACAACACGCCAGACAGGAACGCGTAAACTTAGTTATGGTTCAATCATATTCGGTCCTGATAAAGTATTAACACGCGGCCGTGACGGCGAACACCTTTAAATATTTTTCTTATTTCCTATACAGAATAATAGCGTAGTCTATGTTATATTGTGTATAAACGAACGTTGTAAAATCGAATTTATAATTCAACGCGCGCGGTATTGGTATTTTACCGTGTAACTCGTAAGGCAAAGGCGAACGGTATTTATTATTATTACTTTTTTTTTTTTTTTTTTTTTTTTTTTCTTTCTTTCTTCATTGTGTTTGAAAGTGACAGAATGACGGGAGGAAAAAAAATTCAGGACCGTGATGATCATTATCGGAGACCGACGATAGTGGCGGCTAACGCTCGTAGTACAGATTTGTGAGGCCGTATTACGACGGTTGTTGACACAATAATAATATATTATGTACTCGTATTAACACGGTCAGTGTCGTAACGTGAATATTATAGCAAAAATTTTGTTTTTTTATACTAATCGGTATAATATAATATTATTGGTAAGGGGATGTGAGTATGAATCACTAAAAAACCTTTAAAAAATAACATCCCAAAAAAATCATTTCACCAAACACTAAAAATATAATATCAAAACAATATCAAAACTGTTGTTTTTTTGTTCAATATCGAATACTTGTGATTTAGTTTTAACAATTCGAAATATTTGTGTAACCTTTTGTTTTTTTTGTAAGCAATTATACTTAAATATAAAATTAAAAACTGGAAATTTTTACGGAATCACAGCCTTAAAAATAATTAAAAAAATGATATTAGTACGGAACGGTTTTAAAAAAAAAAATTCAAGTTAATTAGTTTTATTCGTATTTATTTGCGCAAAGTTTCCCGCTACGCCACTAATTTTTATACGGCAACAAATGATCCTGCAATGGTGAATTTGAGAGGAGGGCAACTTGGAAAACGACATTCATTGGAGTTATTTTAAATTTTTTGATATTCAATGCCATAACTGGGGAGGAGAGGTGTCCAGTGGTGTATTAAAATAAATAAGTGAGTATAACATTGCGAGTAACGCGCGATACCAGTCCGACCTCCAGTTAAATGAGCTTCAAGCCCGTCACTGAAAGGATCTATAAGTCTATATACGAAATAGGTCTGGGAAATAAAATTCCGAAACACCAGACGGTGGCAGGAACACATTTTTAACTAGTCATCCTTTAATAAGGTTAAGTCGGACCACTGCACCTACGAGGCTTTTTAAGATATTGTTTTTTTTTCCTCTCCGCTTTCGGCCGTCGTAAACGATTTTTATTTTTATTTTTTTAAACATTATTCTACAAAACTATGACTAGGTAAGTATAAGTAAATATTATGTGCCGTCATCACACACATACACACACACACACATAATGCACGAGCGGCACTGCCGTACTCCGGGCGATGATGTAAATTACTTTTTTAACGTAATTCATGTCTTCAAACAAAGACATTGTATACTAATATTATTATTTTTGTTTTTGTTGTATAACAATGATGGTAGTCGTGTTATTCGTCATCCGGACTAACATCGAACTAATAACAGTTATATTACATAGCTATCTAGGTATTTGTAAAAATAATACACATTTTCCAAAATAGGATTCAGGACCGTGCGGTGGCGGCACGTCGTTGAAATATACCTTGAGAAACGCGTCCGAAAGCCGTATTATTTCGAATATTTACTAAAACTATTAACCTCAGTTAAAAAAAAAAAAAAACAGTAAAATAAAATAATCAATTGGTCAAAGGGACCGTGGTGATGAGAACTGCGCACAGCGTCGCGCGTGGACAATGGGGAGGCGACTGTGTATAGCCGAGAATATATTATTATTATTGTAGTCGAGAAATAGAGTGAGAAAATACAAAAAAAAAAAAAAAAAAAAAAAAAAAAAAACATATATAACATAAGGCACTTACCGGGGCAGAAACGTCCTTTCACCTTTATGGACAATGGAGACGGTAACCTTCTCACCAAGTCCACACAATACGTGGACTCGACTATGCTGTCCGAGGACACCGACCTTGGGAACCATTCCAAAATATCGTTCACGTTTATTTTTTCCTCTTCGCCTCCGCAGTCTTCGTCTTCGTCGTCACCCCCTTCTTCGTCTTCCCTGTGGGAACATAATAATTATATTTTCGATTATATTATTACTTAAAAAAATAATAATCATAATAATAATAATGATTAGGTATTAGGTTTTTTTTTTTTTCTTTTCTGTGTTCAACCGGTTCGGGCAGTGGACAAGTCATGACAAATCGGTCCCGATTCCATTCAATTGATCGTGTATTAAAAAAAAAAATATATATATATATATATAAATACACATGTCAATAATTCGAGTGTCCATATGACGTGTACACTTCCACACGCATAATTATAAATTACATACAGGTCGATTTACATATACGGATTCTGTGATCGCGACGAACGTGACGTTTTGTCTATACGCGAAGGTTTGGATTTCGATCGTTATCGCGGACAGTTGAAGACCTTATGTGTATTATAATATAGACGTCTATTCACAATATTTCCGAAAAGTCACATTTATCCCGTTGATTTTCAAGTAAGTATAGCTAGGGGCGATCCTAGGGTTTATTTTTACGGGGGTTCCGACTGAACTTTGCCGACTTCCAAGAACAAAATTTGACGACAGGTATTTTATAGCATAATATCTGCCGACTGTTATCAGCTATTATAGCTAATTGTTAGTTCACGGAAAAACTTATGAATAAAAATATATAAAAATTGTAGGTCTTGTGAATAGCTATAATATGTCGGCTGTAAATTACAGTTGCTTACTTTAAGGGGGTGTTACAACCCCCCAAACCTCCCTAGGATTACCCCCGAGTATAGAATGGGACATAAAAATGACTTTTTAACAATAATACTCACTTTTACCGGATGTCGTATATGACGTGGGTTTATTATGGTAATAGTAACGGAATGAGGGCAGCACTTTGGAGAACATTTTAAACAAAATCATCATTATACGATTCGGACATCATTATAAGATGACCGTACGGGAAATAGGAGATTTAGATGTGCGTTCGAAATTCAACCAAGTCCCCCCCTCGAAATTATTTGAGCCAATCATGTTTATGGTTGCAGAATAATACAAAAATACAAAAATTTACCGGTAATCGTCGAATATAAAGAAAATCGTTAGATACTTATACACAAGAAATCGCCGTGTTTATCGGCGAATTTGATTTTCTACTATTACACGAGTATACCGTACATTGTACATGTATCGCACCCCCGAAAAAGTCAAATCAAAATATGAAAATGTCGGAAAATCTACTTTTAATGTTTCATAATTCTTTATCGCGAACAGGAATATTTCACACGTGAAAATGTTACTTTAGAGACGTGGCTTTATCCCGGCTAGACAATTATAGTGTAACGACTACATTGGTCGGGTCATAATAAAATCACATTTCAGACGCGTCATTATTTAGGCTAGGACTGTAGTTTATTTCAAGAAGACGAAAATTCGTTCGAACCCGTACTGTCTTTGATATTAAATTTAACGGAAAATGTCGAGTAAGCGTACTAAACTGTAGAGGACGGCGTCGTGCAATAATAACATTCTGATTGTAATAACTCGAAAATCGCATATATCTTTGAGTCGTGTTAGTGTTCTTTCGGGGGATAACTATAGGTATACATTTTTATTTATTTTTGGTATATTATCTATAAATAAATAAATAACTTCCCCGCATTGTGTTGCGTAAAAAAAAAAAAAAAAAACCTCTCGACGGGCTATTTCACGAGTACAATACGCGTATTATAAGTATTATAATATAGGTAGCGTTATATAGGACCACTCTCGGCCGTGATAAATGAGAAAAGTTGAGTGCGAAATCGCTTTTCATATCGCTGCAGCAGCGTAGGAATATATTTTAATTTTATTCCAACACGCTTTTAAATTGATAACGCGTATACTGCGTGTGCGTCGTCGTTAAGTGCGCGATACTTCGACGACGCTGTTAACTTTAGAGCTGAGCTCGTTAGATTCGGATCGTGCATGTATATAAATATGTATAATATTATAATAAGACATACGAGCATGAGGTACCGTTATACCGTTAAATTCGATTGTGGGATTATACTGAAGTGGGTAGGTATATTTGCGAGACGACAAATTATTGTAAAATATTCAAGTGAGTAATAATTGAGTCGCGTCGAACGTAATTTATTTTTTTTTATTCGTTTCGCGTTAATAAAGCGTAAAATTACCCGACTTAGAAAACCAATCGTCGAGAGGGTGTTACTGGGAAATATTTAGCGATCGTCGTTTAAAACACCTACCATCGGTAAATAAAACCGTTAAAAAGTTAAATGCCGTAATAATATTACAGGTCCCGTAAATATACGTTGTTATAAAAAAAAAAAAAAACTTTACGAAAAGTATTGTATTGTTCGTACGAAAAATAAACTACCTGTGCATCAGCTGTTTTAGATTTTGAAGGGCGAGAGGAATATATTAGTTTTAATGTGTTGTGTTTATTTTTCTAGTGTGTCTATCAATCATTTTTTTTAATTGATATCTTGCTCCGATAAAAAAAAAAAAAAAAACTCTAGAAAATTTCTTGTAGAATTGTTGATCTAGTCGGAGCATTTTTTGATTTTCTTCGTAGTTTATTGGGGAAAACGGGCAATTTGTTTTATAGTTTTTATCGATTTCTGAGTCGCCACACGATATTCAAAATTATCGCGTTGCATCGACTAGTAGTCGTTTATATGGTGACCCGAATGACATTTCTTTAACTCGACAATAATATCATAGAACGTTAAGGATAACCGATTAAGCACAATCAATTTAATTTAAACCGGACGTTGAATCCATACAATATATAAGTATTTCGACGTGCGACACCGTTTGTCCGAGTAAAATATTATAAGAAGGTTAATTTCGGTTAATTGTATGTATTGTAAACACATTTTTTTTTTTTTTGATTTTTTGATTTTGCCGGACAATAATTGCCATTAAGCGGACGTATGCGGACGTTACCGTCATTAACGGTACGGAAAAAGAAAACGCGATAAAACAGGAAACTGCGCTAATGGATCGACAAACACGCACGCGGCCTCCGTTGTCGTCGGTGCGGACAGTGAAAAAAAAAAACCATGTAAAAACCGGCACGGTGCACTCACGGGTTCCTTTACACATACGTAAATAGGTTGTTTTTTCGGACCCGAGAATCGAAACTTTTTTTTTTTTTTTTTTTTTTTGGAAGGGATGGAGGGGGTGAAGAGTTTTTTGCATTTGCGTGTTTTACAAATTAATTGCGAATATTTTACTACTCCCGTGGCTTCCATAACCGCCAACATTGTACCGTCCTCCGTTACCGCGCTCCGTTATACATTTAAAATCATTTCGAACCTCATCTAACCACGTTTTCCTAGACCACTTCCGGGGGCCTCTTTCCTTCCGATTCATCACCGATGTTTTCATCGTTTTCGGGCACATTATCATACAATCATACGATAATCACAACAATATAATGTATCGCCGATAAACCGAATAGATATATTTTGGTATACTTTCGTATTATACATACTATACCTCTGATTAACCCCGTGACCTGCCCGATGTGGTTCGTCCATTTTTCCCTGCCCGCTTTACCATCCGACCGTCGTAATTTCTCATTGATTTTAGGTTCGCATTTTCGGAAACGAACTTCGACTGCGAAGTTTGATCCAACAGGTAGGTTAAGTTTTCGCACTGTTGTGTAAGCAATATTATATAGTGTATTCCTAACGTGTTATTCGCAGCCGTTTGTACCAACACTTTTGTAATTCGTTATTGAATTTTTTCTTTTCCTGCAGCAATTCGAACAATTGTCGAACTTCGGGCAACAAATCATTCGCCAAATTCTTTGAACAAAAGTTCCGAACATACGGGTCTTACTTCGTATATACGTTCTGTTGTAGTGTTATCGATGCTCGCTATTTTGTCCGTGCCCGGCACCCGTAAATAAATTTATATACATCTATATACTTAAGACCCTCGGTGACATGAGCCATTAGGAACAGTCAAAGTTATACGGTACGTAAATTACACGGAGTATAGCATACAAATAAAAATGAAAAAAAAAAAAAAAAAAGGAAATACAGGTATAAAATCACGCTAAATATAAATACAATAAATACAGAAATTAGATCATATTAAAAGTTATAGAGACACGGTCAACTGTATCTATAGGGTTATTAATTGGATAGATAATTTAGAAACCATTGATGATATTTTTCCGGAATATTACGTTTCGAATTTTTCACGATCCGAGAAACTGCAGTCAACACTATTCCGTTCCGGATTTTTGTGTTTTATGTTTGTACAGCCGTCGGCGCCGGCAATGAAGATGATAGCTGTGTCCATCGGCTAAATTCGTTTGCTTTGGACAGCGAGTCTGGTGTGCTGCACGTTATCGCGTTATCAATGTGTAGCCTGCATCGAGAGATAAAGGCCATTGATTATAATGGAGACAATGGTGCGATTTAGGCTAGGTCCTGGGAGAAGATGGGCGCATTTTGAAAACCGTTGTGAAAGAGGAGGGGCGTATGAAATTATTATCCGTCGCTATTAGGAAGCTGGGTTGGTCAGGTTTAACTTTGTGTGTTCGATTCAGAGACGAGTTAACATCACCGCAAGCTTTCTGCTTTCTACTAAATGTATTGGGGAAACACCGGGGATAGATGTTGCGTTTTATTTCATTGAATTCGGCGTTTTGAGACGCCTGCAATCGGTACAATTTCATGAGACATTTCTTTAAAATTAGCGATTGGATGTCTCGGTGGGAGGTTAGTTGGCCAGCGGAAGATGAGTAGTGGGATTTTATCGTAGTCTATGAGTTCCGAAATCAGCAAGCAAGCTTGTTCTCTCGAATAAAAATGTCATATTACATTTACCTATTATTCTACTATTTTATTATGCTCCTATATAATTCGTAAAACGCGTTTCCGACGTTTTGAACATCATGAAATAACACTCGATTTAAGTATAAAAGCATATTTCTTTGTTTGTTGGACTCTGCCCACCCTCCTCCGCCACCCCCCCCCCCCCCCGTAAATACAACATTGCTTGGTACGTCACACCGGCTATCAGTAATATTTCCGAGCAGTTACGATACATTGACTTTAATCCCCGTGACGATGACGGCGTTAAATAATTCCAACCGAACTCATCCGACACGACACAGTCGTCCGCACAGAAAAACACAATTATAGGTACCTACTTAATAATAAAACGATAATGTTACTATAACGGTCCGCGGTGGTCGGCATTTATTACCTACAAGAGATTCACGGGGAACGTGACAATAAGAGCGATCGTCCATTATAGACAATCCGAGTACTGAGCATTTTGACATTCCGTCGTCTACAATAACGATAATAGTATTGTTATTATTGTGTTAACGCAGTTCCGTAACGGTTACGATTAAAACCGTAAATTTTTGATCGAAATTAGAATTCAAACACAAACAACAACGGTTTTGAAAAGGAGAATACATTTTATCTCAATGCGCTTATAAAAAAAAAAATTTGACAAAACCGCAATGCTCCCGAAATCGTGTTCTCTTCAAACGTCGTTATTTGCGTGTAAACACATTGTATAATTTCAATCGAAACTCCACCGAGTTCCGTATATAGTGATTTTGTTACGTTATAGTTGTACCGAGCCGGTAAATAATCGCGTCCTCTAAACGACACAACGGTCGATACGTTTATTGTTAACGCGATATTATACACCATTACCTATTTGCCGTATGTCGCACGAAAACACTCGTTTTTGCGACCGAAAACCGTCGATTGTCGTAAACTACGAACGAGAATACAACATTATACATAATAGCACGCGATTTCATATTTTGCCCGTCCGATAATGACCGACCCGAACAAATGGAAAAGAAACGGAGGTCTCGTTGTGATTAATATAACGTAAAACGTTGCATACCTACCGAATCCGAATATTTACACAATAACGGAAATTCGAATTTAATTTGCATGATCGTCAATGTTTTTTTTTTTCGTGTTTCAGCGTTTAAAGAAAAAAATGTAAAGAAATAAAAAACGGGTTTTTCTCGAAATTTTCTTTAGGATTTTCTTGGTATTTTAAATGTTTACATTGTACGGTTCAATCAATATGCTTCGGAACGTTATTCGCTTGTATAGACGTATGCACAGAGATTTTGAATCACTCTAAAATTGTTTTCCGAAAAAACGTCGTAAAAAAAAAAAAAAACGACCCAAGTCTGAGAGAAAGTCGTTTTTGGGTTTTATATTTCGAATGTATTTTCCGTGTTAAACGTTTGTTATCATTAGAAGGCGACCTATCTTTTGAATCACGCACCTACCTCACGCAACGCAAATTTTAAGCCTATTATAATATTACATTGAGAAAGGTAAGGAATAATGAAATAAGAGCAAGCCTTAAAGGCTCGTAAAATAAAATTATTATAAGATAACGGCCGACCGCACAATTCGTTCCGGTTGATCAGTCTGCGTCTATATCCACGGAACGACACATGTCTATCGTGGACATTTCAGTTTCCCAGCAGAATGATGACGTGATTTTACATAAAAATAATAAGTCTTAATAATTTTAATATTATTAGGATAATACATTATAATAATGCACAGTAGACACATATACGGGGGGGGGGGTTAAACTCCTCCCCACAGAAATAAAAAAAAAAAAAAAACGCTACTTTAAAAACACTTTATTCTAGCTCTGTTGTTCGACATTTTTAATTTTTAGATCCTGAATGGAGCGAGAAATATATATTGGTTTAACAATGTTGTTTTTTTTTTCGGATACATTTTCTACCGGATATTTTGCTTCGATTTACAATGATAGTACTTTTACTGAAAGAAAATCTGACTGGGGTGGTATTTTAAGATAGTCATTTGTTAATTTTCCAAGAGGGTTTATTAATAAACGGGAAAAAACACGAGAAAACTGGAAAAAACGGAAAAATAGATACTATATAAAACAAATATTATTTAAAAAAAATATTTAATGCATATTATGTTATTATTTTACCAAAATACGACGTTTACATTGTCGAAAAAACTACACTATCAGACGAGGTCCACTCAGAATCGTTTTTTTGTTAGAAATGGTCAATCGTCGCGTACATTAAATGTCCTCTTTACTACATTCCCAACTTGTTTTCACCTATAACAGTGGCTGCACCCGTTCCCGTTATCCTAGGACAACTTTTTTACTCACGGATCCTCCACCCAAATTTTTGTACGCATATTAACAAGTATACCTATAACACGCCACTGGTTATAAATAGCTGCCTCTAGGTCACACTGCCCAAGCATGCGAAACGACGGTTTTTTCAAAATAGTGATAACTCGAGAGTTTCAGCCAGCTGCAGACTAACATTCCGTTACTATATTGCGTTGTTATAAGCTATCTCTAGCCGTACTGCCGTGGGCAATATTGCCGAAAAAGGAGTGACTTTTTGTTTTGTCAAAATCCCTATTACGTGTATAAAGGCTACGTATACAGACACAATGATCCACAGTATAATATTGATTTTCGTGCATGTGTGTGTGTTCGAAGAAATAACATCAGAAAAGCGTTCATCCGAAATTAATTTTACTAGGGCTTGTACTCTTTTTATACGGCCAAAAAAAAAAAACCTATACTCGATATTATATCCCGACGTCGAACATCAATCAACAATAACATTTTTTTTTTTTTTTCTCACTTTTCCCGAACGTTTTTTTTTTACTTCTGAAAAGCGCGTCAAACAAACGAGCATCCCGCCCCTTGTAATGCATTAATATTATACCCGTAAAAATACTATATGTATATATTGGACTTACACACGCCATACCGTTATTAACCCCTTTTTATTAGCTAATAGAATGGAAATGTAATTTTTACCGCGTCTTTAGATATAATATCATTACATGACAAGTCGTTGTTTAGTTTGATGTAAAGGTAATATACAGAGTGGTTTTTTTTTTTACCCCGAACTACGAGGTTTTCGAGCGAAATATATTTTGCGTTTTTTTTTTTTATTTTTTTCACCCATTATCATACGGGATCCTGTAACATAGGAAATATTACATTACTATTAAATGCACGCGTATCAGTTTTCGCTTTTCGAAACGTTTCGATACTACGCGTCAGTTATCAGGTTTGCCGTTTACGAGTTTAAACGGTTTAGAATTTTCGACAGAGTGTAGGGCTGAACAACTAAAAATAGATACGAAACGTGCGGCTCTTTCCTACTCCTCTGCAGGTTTAAAACTGTTTTATACGCAATGAACGGTGTATCCGATTTTAGCGTTATCGACTTTTAAGAAAATTATTTATTTTTCGAATCCGTCTATAAAGGTCTCCTGTGCCCCGGGGGGTTTTTTATTTAAACGTTTTTTTGCTCACAGCTAAAAATCGTCCGGGTCGTAGGTATATAAGCGGTGTTTGGGCGAACATTCGGAAATGACGTTCGATTAGACGCTAAACAGTCCCGTAACAATAATTACCGGAAAAAAACGGGAATCAAACGCACGCCCGGGGAAATGCTTCGAGAAAATCGATTGGTCGTTATACGAAAACGGAAAAAAAAAAAAAAAAAATCGCCCCGCGTATACATTTGCTTTTTTTCTACACAAAATATCGCGGTACGCGCGCAACGATATCCGCGTAAGGTGTAAAACGATAATTTCTACGGAAAAAAAAAAAACGTAAAACGCGTAACAATATTATTATTATGCGGTTTCGCGTTAAAGGAGAAAAAAAAAATGTACGCGAAAGTCTTTCGGTCCGTCGAGGAACGTCTCGTTTACAAAGCGGCGGCGGCGGCGGCTGAATCTCGTCCGCCCGTTCTCTTTTGATAAATAACTAGTCGAACGTTATTATTTGTTATTTTTTTTATCGCCGTCGTATCGTTTCCTTAGTAATGCGTACGTTATTGTCGTTGTAGAATTTAATAACGTTCGCCCGGACAAAACGGTTTACGCCCTTTTCCCGTGTCCGGCCGCTCTCCGATGCCCGCTAACGCTCCCGATTCATTCGGATTGGCCTCGTAACGTATCAAAACGTTCGCTCGCCGTGCGACAGCGGCGAACAATGCGAACGGCCGCGTTCGCGCGGCGGACTCGCGTCGAACGATATCGCCGAGACGGTTTTTCGATACGGCGCGAGTCGCGATTTTCCGTCGAACCTGCGGGGCGGGCGACGCGCCGCTTGGAAGACCCGAGACGCGAAACTCTCGGGCACCGTTGACGCCGCCGCCGCCGCCGCCGCCGGACTCGATTATCGACCCGGATAAATTCCCAGACGAATTTTTTCACCTGCGCGTTATCGGCGGTTCGGGGGGCAGGACGATCGTTGTAGGTTTAACGTCTGCGGCGTTTCCACTCGTCGTCCGTCGCAATTGTACAGTCTCGTTTTCGGCGTCTTACACCATTGTCGGGCCAATAATCGCATTGATTGACGCGTACAGAGAGAAACGCCGTTTCATTAAAAAATATATTTTTTTTCGTTTTAATGTTTCGGTTACGCGTAATGTTCGACAATCGAAGACGTTTTTTCGTTCGGACGGGTACAGGCGGTACGCCATCATTTTTTTCCTCACGAAAAATGAAACAAAGGCCGACGCCACTGCGGTTACATTTTTTTTTTACGACAAAACAGACGAAAAATAACAACGGACTTTGATCAAACCACCGAGATGTCGCGTAAACAGTTGGGGTTTTCCGACATTTTTTTTTTTCTATCGTTATTTCGTCGTTATTATAGGAAAAGAACATAGAATTTAAAACATAAAAAAAAATCGACTTTCTCAACGCGCTACTGTATAATTACGTATCCGAATTCCACAAGTGAGATCCTTGGAAATTTTAAATCGGAGCCAGCGTTATCTAAAAACTCGTTTACAGACAAAAAAAATCAAAAAAAACCAATAAAAATTACGTTTCATACCGACGTTAATAAGCAATACAATCCCGGGGACAAATAATCCCCGTAGAAAATCTGGAATAATTCAAAATCTACGTACTCCTGATTCCGTGCCACGCGGAAAACTTTATTACGTACGTTATCATTACGGTCAAACTCCGGTCGGGCTCATAATTTTTTATTTATCGCGAAACAGTTACGCGGCACGCGTATACGGGACCCCGGCGCACGGCTGTCAGCCGCTCCGGAATAATTAGCCATTCGACCGATGAAATAATAATCACTCGATAATATATTTCATTACTCTCGTGATGTTCACGCCGGATCGTAAATAATTATCGTGTTCGGAGTCGCGGCAAATGCGGCGCTTCGGTGTACACGATTCCGGGATAAAGTTTCGACGGGCAGACGTTCCGCGAGTGGGCGAAGTTCCCGAACGCTAAAACGCTGTCCGGAACGACAGCCACTGAAATCGGGTCAGCGGCGGCCAGAGCAGTGCGACGCGCGACCGCGGTGCCGATTACGGCGCGAGGACGGGCGCGCAGAAAGGGCGTCGGAGACACCGGGAAACGCGATTGGCGACGGACTTCCGCGGCGCGGATTTCGTCGACGGCCGAACGCTCCGGCGGTCAGGCCGTACCGGGCGCCCCCGTGTTTCGCGGACCCCGTTGCGTGCGGTCGATCGAAGAGAATCGGCGCAAGACGGTGACGGGCGGTGGCGCGATATCGCGTGGTACGGGCCGAACGTAAACGGGGAGGAGAAGAACGTTTTGCGGGAGTGTCCGCTCCACCGGGCGCGTACGGGAATGCCCGACGTACCGTCAGACGACGCGTCGGTTGCGGTTTTTACGATTTTTTTTTTTGTTTTTTATACAAACGGCGATATTTCGGATTTAAAACGCGTACCTTTGTATCGGCACGATAGCACCGAAGACTTAATTCAACGATTTCTACGACACACCTGAAAACAATATTCTTGATAATCTTTCACTTGTTTTCCTTTTTTTTTTTTTTTCCGTAAAATTTCTCATCTAGCCGGTGCGTCGAGCGAGTGATTTTTTCCCGACGGTTCGGAAAAACCGAATAAAAACGGATTTGATTTGAAAAGTTTTTAGTATGTTTTTTTTCGAAAACTCTTGTTCCGCATCTCGCGAGTAATTTTTTCTCAAGTCGTTTTTTTTTTAGATTGTTTTGTAGAATTTTTTTTCCCGACGCGTATCATTCGGAACGCCACGCCGACACATCGCGTACGTCACACCGTGCCCGCGACTTTCGTTACCGCGGTTGCCGTTGCCGCGGTTTCAATAACAATACCATTCCGAGACGGTTTTCGGCGCGCCCAGCTGACGCGTCTTTTAATCTCCGCGCATCGTCATCGACACGTCGCGTCCGTATTGTTCCGTTTTTTTAATCGATTGCCAGACACGCAACCGACACGGAATCATCTCCGACGCGCGTTCGCGCGCGCGCACGCAACGCGTACGGGTCGCGGTAACGGGCAGTCGGCGTCTACGATTATTTTTTTTTTTTTTCACGTACGCGAGAATAATCAGACCCCCGAGTCTGAAACGCGAGCCGAACCGCGGCCCGCGCGTAAGTATAACAACAACAACAACAATACGAAAATACACGCGCGACGCTCGGATTTTCGGCGCGGAACAAAAAAACGTTTAAACGTCCGCGGCGGTCCATCGTGAGCGGCGAAAATCGCGACGGCCCCGCGGTGCCCCACGGTGCCGGCGCCCCGCGTCCAAAACACGTTCCGCCCGGAGACGACCGTGCGCGCACCCGACTGTTTATTGTCGGACCGCCGCCGTCCGTCCGCGGTTTTCGGCCCGGTCTACAACACGGGTTCCACCCCCCCCCCACCCCCGGTCGGAACGGTCCCGTTAGAAACGTTTTAAACGTTTTTAAACCGTGTTTACGGTTTCCGCGCGCGTAACGCATCCGGGGAAAAAAATCCGAAACAACGGGATTATCGCAATCGGCGGTCGGAGCGGGAACGGGATGCGGAATGGGAGACGGCCTCCCGCCACTCGTTACGATTTACATTTTCTATCCCTCCGCTCATTCCGTCGAAAAACGATACACGACCCCTTGCAGTTTTATACACAGACATCGATTTACAATATTGGCGTTTTTCAAACAAAAATTTTATTTGTTTACGGCGATTATTCAATTAAGTCTTACAAAAAAATACAATGTTGTGTTTCTTTTTTATACGCGGATCGAGTATTTCTATCTCGTTTCAATCGGACCACTCGGCGTCTAGTTCTAATCGATTTGAACGTCATTTTTTCCCCATAATTTTACGTTGACGGGAAACACGTAAAAATACGAATACGATAATTCTGGTGATTTCGAGCCATTTATAAACGTGTCTCACGGTATTGCCCGATGACGGTAAACTCGCTGTACCGTGAGTCGAAACTGTAAGTATAAAATTCGTAACGTTGCGCTCACGGATTAATCGCTCGTGCATAATTTTTATAACGTATAATAATACATTGTGTCGTTACCCGCGTTACCTATACATTTTACGTATAGTAATGGTGAGCGATTGCGATGTATTTTTTTTTACCGTTCGAAAGTGCGATGAGCAACAACGCCAATACTTTTAACGATATCATCGGACGTTCGAAAACGGAACTCGGGGATTACGATAATTAATAGAAATACAGCATAATCGCGACAATAAATATTGCGGTTGTCTTGTAGTTCTTGCCAGTTTTTCCGAGTCGAACGAGTAAAACTTTTTTTCTCTCTAGAACACGATTTGTTAAAATTCAAAAAATACGGACCGAATAAAAATGAATTTTTCGATTATTCTTTCAGGGTTTTACGTCTACATATATATATATACAATCGCCTAGCGAAGAAACTTTCCCGAACGTGTTATATTATTATGTTTATTGTGTGGGAAATGTGTTGACGAAAAAAACCATTGTAAAACTAATAATACAACTTCCGTTTTGCCGTGTTCGGCAACTGGAAAAAAAAAAAAAAAATTATTACACACCGAGGAGACGTATGAACGTGTGTAAGTGTATTCCTTCAGGTCTGCCGAGCACGCCGCGCGTAACCGGTCGAAATATCACACCGGCGAGGGTTCGCGTTTCGAACGCCGAAAGACGGACGGCGACGCGCAAAATAACACGGTAATATAAATAAAAAATTGTCCGCGCGATCCGCGGTAACGGGGAGATTTTAACATGCGTGTAGGACGTTGTTGTACGGAATTCCGCGGGCGGCACGTCTCCGCGCGCTGTGAAACCATTAAATAAGGGGCGGCTCGAGTGATGGCGTTGTATAAATGTACGCGTAAAAAAACGGCTGGCGGGTAGCCCGGCGAAAACCGAAATTAATATCGCGTGTACAATATTATGTTTTACGCGGGCATTGTGTACCGTCAAAACTGTAATAACACGCGCGCGCGCACGCGCACATTACGATAACGTGTAATATTATGACGCGCGTACAAAATAATATTTCGTAATTGTTCGGATTTTCGGTCTGTGTAAAAATGCTCGGGGTTTTTTTTTTTTCGGCGTATTTTTACGAAATAATATGCGGATTTCACGCGCGGGTACGTTCGAAGAACGATTTCCCAAGAGTTTTCCCCGCAGAAACTGACTTTTTGAAACCGGATTTCACTCGGAATCGATTTCATCTGTATTCGCAACAACGGATTTCCGCGGGCGTGTGTTTTCTTCTGCCGATGTTCATCTCCGTTTCCCGGCATTCTCTTTCCGCACGCGACGTAATGTTTTCATGCTGTTCACGGTCTTCCGCGACTCTGTCGCCTGCGCGCGTTTTCCGAAATAACTGCGCGCGCCGCCCACGCACTGCGCCGCGTGTACGGAAACTCTTTCCCGTTTCGGACGTACGCCCGCCGGCGACCACGGACGTCATGCGGTCCGCGTGGTATTTCGCTAATTGGACATTTAATGGACACGACGCGCATTCTGCGCTCGCGTTGTTATCGCGGCAACGAAAACACAATCGCTGTTCGTGTGCCGACAATATTTGTGTGCGCGTACGGGTGCCGCACGCGCGCGGTAACGTAACCCGGCGAAACCGCAAAGGTCTCCGGGTTTTCGTTTACGGTTTACACAATATCCGCGCGCGCGCGCGCGCCTTTGAAACGCCGTCGCGTCACGTGAACGGGTAATCGTTCTGGGCGCGGCGCGATTGCGCACGCGTGTCCGTCCCGACAACACGGTTGCGTACGAATCCCCGTGCGCAACGCTGTCGAAACGTACGCGCCAGTATACGCTCGACAATTATCCGGTACAATCGGTTTTTTTTTTTTCCCCCCCCGGAAATGCGGAACATCGTCACTAACAGAATAATCCTTTAAGACTGTTTCGGATTCGAATGAAATGCGATTTCGCCGTTTTCTTTATTTTCCCGTTGTCAATCGATTGAACGATCCGTCCCGTCTTTAACCGTTTTCCCTCTTCGGATTTTACAAGTTTAACAGTATTTCCGATATTGCCGAACGTCGATAAAATGACGGACAACGACGAACCGAGGGGCGGAAAATACTTGTACATTCGAAACGTAACGAAATTCCTAGCATTTTGTAGTGACATATATATATATGTATTTGGTGTTGCGTTTTTATCGTGTTTTACCCGTTTTTTTTTTTTTTTTAATCCGAATATACCGTAGTACAAACGTGTAGTGTAACGACTTTGTTTCGCAGTAATAATGCCCGGACGTCCGGAGTGTATGATGTGCGGTTTTTGTCAAAAGTTCGAATTCGTCCGAAATAATTAAAATGCATTTATAGTCTGCGGCCAGAATGTCAAGGACGCTACAAACACACGTGTTGTTTTCGGCGCATTCGTTGACTTAGCCGAATACGCGTACGCATGGTGATTTCCCCCCCTCCCCCCCACGGTCACGATCCGGCGATTTTCTCTGCGGATTTGAAATTCGCCGGATTTCAGTTTAACGTTTGTTCACGAAATGTTTATCCCAAAAGTCGTTTTTATAACGAGTTGGCCCGGGAACCAATTATGTATAATATCGGATAAACCGTTTACGAGTTATAATAACAGTTTGCGATACAGACCGGAGCCGGTGTAGTAAGCGACACCAGACATTTTTGGACATATTTCCATTCAGAGTCGATATTCTTTTACGACGGCGAACACAACAATTAGGGTAGGACGTTGACGTTATTTCGTAAATATATAATCGTTAAACGTTTAACGTGCCGACTGAAAACAAACGGAATTCTCCGATACCGTTTTATTTAGACCATTTTGTACGGTTGTTTTACGAATAAACACGGTAGACCCGAGGACGTTTTGTCGTTAAGAAAATAAAACAATAATAATCAATTCCAGAAAATCTATTCTGAATGCCGCGTACAGCTTAGTATCGTAAAGTTGGTCGTTTGTTTCTGCAACACCCTGTACATGATACACCCATACATATGTGTATACCGACAATAGATTAATCGATAATAGTATTAAAATGGCCCATAAGACCGGGACGTCATATAATAATAAAAAGGTACTCGTCGATCACTCGAGTGGAAATGAAAAGTAGGTATTGAAATACATACAAGTATTATATTGGGAATTATACGTATTAGATTCCGAGAAAGAACGCATTGATTTTTTTCTGTCTGTAAATAATTTTGTCAGAACTCTCGGTCCGATCAAAATAAAAAAAAAAAAAACAACAAAAGACCTTTTTTGTTACGTTTTAGAAATAGCTGTCGGCGAGTGAGGTAATCGGTTTTTGACGTTCCGTGTAGTCTTCTTAATTCTTAGCTGAGCTTGAGCTAACCGTGCCGCTCCGGCTTTCCTCTTAAATTAGTGGCACGTACGTTCCCAGCATCAGTACAATCCCTAACGCTGGATAGTGGTTTCGCCCCGAAAACGAATGTGACAAAAAATACCGCCATAAAACGTAATAAAAATATGACATTTAAAAGCTGCTAGATTCGGGGAAAAAAAATGCCGAAAAAGGTAATACTTTTTGAGACAATCTTATCGAGAATTGATAACACTGTATAGCGAAAAACGTACATAATATCATGTATGACAATAACAGACTGCGTGTGTCTCTTTTATCCGAGGAAAGTTCGTACAATGACATTCGATTTTTGCTGATCTTTGGGTCTTGAGCGGTACAAGCGTACTGCACGTGTGGTCCCGTCATCCTCGACCCAGTTGAATTAACGCCGGGAAGTTTCGATACGATGGTTGTTTTTTAACCGCTAAAGTATTGTCCCCGAGCCTGTATTTTTTTAATAAATATTATCGAAAACTTTAACGGCTGTATTCGAGCGATATTATTAAAAGGGGATAAAAATTAACATAAATATCAATAATATCATCGTCACGATGGTGACCGACGCGATAAATCAAATCGGTGTGCGTGTTTGAAAATATCTATGATAAAAATTATCGCATAACACACGAAAAATACAACGTGAAAATTACGTTCACAACAGCTCCCACCCCCCCGGTTCAAAAAAAAAAAAATATTATTCACACTGACGTTAATATTTGATATGTTTCGTAATGTTTAAAATCGTCAATAATCGAAAACAATTCAAGTTTTAATCGCGACAGTAAAATAATAATACACCATTACAAATGAATGAATGGATAAAATTATTATAATAAATAATTGATTTTCAACCCGGATTTTTTTTCCAAATCATACAAAATACTTAAAATATGTGACGCTCTACCGCAAACAAATCGGACGGTGTCTATTGATTACGGTTCTAGGTTTTGAAATTTTCGAACGACTTAGTTCTGTATTAATTCAATATCTGGAACGAAGCGCACCGCGGGTAGTAGCCGCGGGGGCGTCATTTCAGTTTTTCAATAGGAATGCGAACATTTGAATCGGGCCAACTTTTTCCTCCGCCAGGCCATAGTTTATATGATATACTGTTTATTGCGCGGAAAAGAAAAAAAAAAAAATGTTCGATTAATTCGATAGCTCATGCTCCCAATTGACATTTCAATATTCGAATGTTCTATAGAGAAATATTTCTGTTTTGTATTATTTTCGTTCTTAATTCAACCGTCGTCGGTGCAATTAAATGGTATTTTATGCGGGTCAAAAACACATGAACGAAAATCGGGGCTGCCAAATTATAATCCGAATCCCACTAACGACGTCCCTGGTAGTGAGCGCACGCTGCCTAGCATTTTTGCACTTTTTTACGATACGATTTACTTTATTCTTATCTCGGTTCGGCGCTTATATCTTCCGCCGAAACCGCAATAATATGCGATAGCGATTCGGTTTATTCGGAAACGGCGGCGCTGATCGGATGCCAACACGGATTAAAGCCTCTCACCGGGGACTACGGCCGCGACACTAATTTACGAGAAGTCTATTTTTAGACGCCCAACCAGATTTTCGCGTTTTTCCGGACCATTGACATTCTAAATGATAAAACGGTATTAAGATTACAACATATAGGTACGTTGAAGGCGCGCGGTTCCGTCAGGACGACTTTTTTTTCACGCTACTTTTCCGTTTTTTCCACAAAGTCTGTGCAGTCGACAGCAGTGACGAGACTTTTCGGTTGCTCTAGCCGACAAATTAAAGGTGAGAAGGCAAGAAAAATCAACTAGGGGTGGCGAAAATGTTAACCAGGAGCCGGAAGGTAATGAACGCAATTGTCTACAATAAAAACGCAGGCGTTAGGTGCGTATTTTCCGTAGTACACGTTTGAGATTGTAGCGCACACGAAATATGATCACGGACCATTCCGGAAGCATTTCAACAGAAATGAAACAAGGACCACGGGTTTATAAGCTTAGGCACATACATGATACTTTTATATATTTTTCAGACGTCTGCGGTGGATAAAATATGTTTGATTTTACGGTGGTTTTTTGACGCATCACACATCATGCATTATATCGCAATACCGTTTCCTAGCAATTTTTCATCACCTTACAGAAGCTTCCCGTAATGTACGCACAAACGTAAATTCGAGGGGGAAGGGCTCAAAGTCCTCTCTGAGTTATCTTAAGCCTTATTTCTAAATTTTTGAATTAATTCAGTCTTAAATATTATGTCTAAAACCTATTGGGCTCAAGCTCTACAGAGTGTTTTCGGGCTCTACAACGTCTACGAATATAATTTAGCTCGCCTATAATATTATAGTATTTCGAAAATACCTAATATTGTATGCGTTTTAAATTAGAATGTAATTTTCGCGTATTGTAAAATTATAACGACGTCGGCAATGATAATGTTCTCCCATGAGAACTTGAACGTAGTATAAAATCGATACATTCCTCGTTGCGCTCAGAATCTAAAACGAGTTTATTCAGATCAGAAATTTTCGCGAATTTGAATTATTCTCAATAGTAATAATGTCAATATAAATATGGTCTGTTCTTTGTTTTCTACGGTGGCGTTTGAATACCGACACGGAGTGGGCTCACCGTAAGCCTCTCGTCAGGATCGACGATCGCGGGACCTTTTTCCGAAAAACAGAATAGCATATTACCGGAAACCGTAAATTCGCCATTATTTAATATTATATAATTACTCTAAACACCACGACGATGAAATGTTATGCTAGTAAGCTTTGTGGGAAAACCGATAGACAGTGAATCTACCCAACGTCGCCTCTCGACCCCGTCATCGGCCGCCCGATTTCCGGTTTTAACGGGTACACGAAAACAAAAAAATAAAAAGAAGAACATACTTCCCACGTAATTTCAGCCACTGATGTAGGTGGGAAGTTCGGAAGGCAGGATACATACGAGAGTTTAATGTATATCTGTAAGCAATAATAACCCATTGTGAACGAAAAAACGATTCTGAACTCCGGTTAAGTTGATAGTTTTGCTTTGTCAAATATATATATATATGTTATATTATGGTAAAAATGATTACAACAATGTGCGTTTCCATGAGATCGATGACTGTTTGAAAAAGATTAAAATAATGACAACTTAATTATAACAAAAAATAAATAAAAACTGTTGCCAATGACAACCTTATTTTTAATTTTTCAATCTACTTTAACCGGAAGAACCAGAATTTCCTCATTAACTAGAATACTAATGAGAATTTTAAACAATTTTAAAAAAGTACCATCCAGGGAAAATTTTCTTTCAGAGAACGTGCTACACTTGATAATCAGAGTAAACTTTCTTCTAGAAAAAGTGTTCAAATAAAATAATATTAAAAATAAACATCATTGTAAAACCAATATACCATTCCTAGTTTCGCTCAGAATCTAAAAAGAAATTGCATGTTTTACATTGAAAAACAAAGTTTTTAACAACCGTATAGCTTTAGGGTGTTACCACTGGGTATCTCCCTAATTTTATTATTCGTGTTAACTACTTTTATTTACACTTATCAAACCTATTCATTGTATAAAAAAAAAAAAAAATGTATAGATTGTTGATTTATTTTAATACAAATAAAAAAAAACAAAATAAACCGTATAGTAACGTTAACGATGGTTGATATTAACTGTATAGTTAATATTATTAAATACTGCGAGATAAGACACAGCTGTTTCGTACGTCCTATAGGTTGGGACTGATACGGTTGGGATACATGTAAAATCGGGTTTTTCGTTTTTTGTTTTATTGATTTTGAGGGGGGCTTGTTTTAATCGAGATAACCTTAACTAACCCGGACAACGTCGATTGATGACAGCTACTCGTATATTATGTATAACAATACAATAATAAACACGAAGGTATTCAATCAAAAATAAATAATAAATATACATACATACACGCATATTACTATGAATATACGAACTTTGTCAAATGCCAAACAATATTTTATTACATTCCGGACATAAAAAAAACACAATACCAAAAATTGACGTTGATTATTTTTTTTACAAATAATTCGTATAAAATACAACACAGTCAATGATGCGAAATTCATCCTCCTCCTCCTAAAAAAAATCAGTCAGGTCTTTCTCAAATCTAGTCCTCCTTCAGTATGTATTCAGTAGTACCTATAGTCTTTTTATTCAACATTACTAGGAGGGGCTTAAGTAAAATATCTGGACATTCTCGCCAATAAACTTTATTTATATTGTTGTTAATATTCAAATCATCAAGGCTAGGCATTAATGAGTTGGTTAGTTGAATCCAAAGTTAAAATTCAAGTTTATTTCAATGTTTCTAGTTTAACGTACTAAAGCATTAAGAGTTTATTTTGAATTTTACCTGTCGAAGGAAATAATATTATTGCGATTTATTTTAATTTTAACATATAACATTAAGTTTACAATTTATTTGAATAATAGTTCCCATTTTATATTTAAAAAAAATATATTTTCGTGAAGTTCCTAATTTAAAATAAGTATTTTTAATTCAATATTCTCGAAATAAATCCCATGTGTTTGTTTTGGTAATTTTTATTTTCAAAATAACGATAAACTGTTTAATAATTTCGACCACTGTAAAAATAAAAAAAAAATGTATAAAAAAACAAAATAAAACAAACTCAACCTAGTAAATTAATTATATTTTCAAATCAACACTAAACCCAACTCAATTAGTTAAAAAACCGTTTAACGTGACGTGATGGACTGGTGAACTTTTATCCAATCAACTATAAACTGAGTTATTAATATAATAATTATTCATTAATTCGCCGACCGTCCAGCTTTGCAATAAATCATTTAAGTACCTACAATCCACATTTACGATAAATTTATGTATTTTGATAGGTATATGCGCATTTATCGTTTACAATCGCGTAGCCAGGTATTTCCAAAACGGGGATTGTCCAATAACAAAAAATGCAAAATATATTTTTCTTTATCACTGTATGTTTATTATCTAAAACAGACACAAGAGGACGTGATAACCGCATGTGCTGTGCCTCTGTTTTTAAAAACGTACGACACAGTAAATTTGCGTTCGACAGAGTCAAATTTATGCGGTTGGTTTTAATGTTAGAATAAATCGACTTATCTTTAAGATAAATTAACATTATCTGTGCAACTATAGCTCTATTTGTTTAATATTTAAATTTTCAAGGGAGATATAAGCATGATTAAATTTTGTTATAACTAGTTTTTCTCTTAAAAAATTATAAAATTGAAAAAATAGCACCGACGTTGGGCGGATAATGTTCTTATATTTAAGTTTGATGACAGGTAAACTCACTCGGATATTAAAAAGAACAGCACAATGTCGTCAATGCTGAACACAAATTTGCCACGTCGTCGTAGGGTAGTAGACAGTACACCCAGTATCAAGCCCTCTTGAGACAATACACCGACATAATATTATACGACGATACTTGTATTTATCTCGATGGGAAAACGACAACCGTTGTCAATTGTATCGATAACCGCGGCTAACGAAATAATTATTACAAAACCGCTGTAATAGTTTGTGATATCGATAACAATCGATAATAATCATTGACAACATGATTTTTATAAAATACCAACGTTGTAATGCAATTCGCGTTATTTGTTACGTACAGTAAAATAATTTACGTTTCGTAATTTTAGTATTTACCTCTGTAATAAAATAAACACACCGGAGTCGATGGAGGGCGATGAAAACACCCCCTTTCCGCCTCTATACGCCAGCGATCATTTATTTATTGTATGTTGATTGTTTATTTACGTTTAATTATAATATTTGCACAGCGACACGTTTTAATTAGACGGATAACGTTTTATCTTTGTAAAGCCACTTCAAATTATATATTACAACAAGGTTCATTCCAGTGGCGGGTCCCGGGATTATTAAAGTGGGCGGGTGGATTTTATTAAAAATACATTTGTACTTATTAATTTGCTGATAAGCCTTCTTTTTTTTTTTCTTTTTTTTTTTTTTGTGAAATTCTATTGACGTTTAGTTTATAACAATACTGAAATCATAACCTATTGTATTAACAATATTTAAAAATTACGTACAAAAGTACACTGCCCAAGGGAAGGATGGCGATCGCCCTGTCGAACCCAATCCCCCCCCCCTCCTTGTGTCTATCACTGGTTCATCTGAAACGAATTGATCGACAAATTATAAATCGTCAGCTGCACGATATTGTCGCCGAACGTCGACTATTATAATTTATAACGATACATAAACGTAAAATAATGACCGGAACTACTCGTCAATACCACTGGCGTACCGTATCAGTCGTCGTCTATTTCCTAATTAGTGGTTTATTTAGAGTTTTTGTTATTTTTTTTTTAAACGAAGATTGAATTTTTTTTGTGGTTTTTTAGGTACCGCGGCGACACAGATGAACACGAAAACTGTTATTATTATTTAATTTGGTTTTCATGAACAAAAAAGTACTACTTTTAAAAATAAGTGCAATAAAGATTTACTGTCATATAGGTAAAGATGAGTGTGGAAAATACCGGGTCATTCAGCTATGGTTACCAATAAATAATAATAATTATTGTACAACTTATTTAATCAATGTACCGCTTATGGTTAGGTTTTCTCTCAAAACATTTTTATTTAGTAAAAATTTTAGCTTACTCCCCCCATTTAAAAATCTTGGTTACGCTACTGCTTAATAAAATAATATACGAAAAATCGGACAGTTTTACAAAATAAAATTAAAAATCGTAGTAAGAGATTATTTTTCTTTGACGCAATTATTTTATTCATCAATACAGAATGATTATTAGTTTGATTTATTGCCGTCAAAATCAATTCATGTTAAAGAGCACAATAAATTGTTCTGTCAAATTTAAAACTAAATAATAGCATTCGGTATCAAATTGTTTAAGTTTTAAAGTGATTTTCCCGAACGGTTTGAAAACAGCGACCCAGAATCCGTTCGTTTTCATAAGACGATATTTTACCGCGGTAAACGGTGGCGTTTAATACTGAAAACATCATAAATATCAATCAAATAACACGCGGGAAGCAAAGCGTCAAAATTTTAAAACGAAAATTTCGCTCGCCGAAAACCTCTACGAGACTGAAATATTAATAATATTTTATAAACGCAAATATTTATAACGTGTCGTCAAGTTATATTACTCGATTAAACCTTCGGTGTCTATTATTTGTGAATAAATTCTCCAGGTATTGTTCGCCGTTCATTAGCCTTCTGTTGGAACGCGTAAGATTTACAATTAATTATTACAGCGAGCGCCACGCATAGAAATATTAATATTTGGACTGTGTGTTCACCCCCTCCCCCCCCTCTCTAGCCTGCCTTATAATTTATTATTATTACACCAACATTGTCGAAGTTGGCTAACGGTTCATACAATATGACTTGAATTTTATACGCTATCTTTTTCTGAAAACCTTATTTCTGTTGATAAACTTATCACTCACTCGCACCGTTAGGTATAGCGTTTTTCATCCGATCACACTCCTGTTCACTACTGCACGCGGACAGTGACACACGGGTATTATAATATGAAGGTAACGTAATTTTTGTTGCCGTATTATCGTATTTATATACCACGTAAATTTGATGACAGTTAGCATAATCGAAGTACACATCACAAACAAAATATTCATCAAATATAATCTATATCGTCATACCTTCGAAATCGAAAAAGACGTCCTCGGATAACGGTGACGGCTGCAGTCACCGCTATAGATAATTTAACATAAATACCTGTAAGCAACGATAAACCATTGCTTACGAAAAAAACTGTTCTGAACGGAGTTCAATTAATAGTGATACTCTGTCAACAATGTATATGCCATATTAAAGTAAAATAATTAAATAGGCTCTATATATATTTTTTTATATCTTCTATAAGTTTAATGTTGTACTGATTTTCCCAGTTTTCCTAAGTTTTTCCAAGTTTTCAAATGTTTTTTCTCAGGTTTTCACATTTACTGGAAAAACTCTTGGGAAAATTGAAAAATTACTCTTGGGAAAATTGAAANTAATTTAACATAAATACCTGTAAGCAACGATAAACCATTGCTTACGAAAAAAACTGTTCTGAACGGAGTTCAGTTAATAGTAATACTCTGTCAACAACGTATATGCCATATTATTATAAAAATAATTAATATATTTTTTTATATCTTCTATAAGTTTAATGTTTCACCGATTTTCCCAGTTTTCCTAAGTTTTTCCCGGTTTTCCAATGTTTTTTCTCAGGTTTTCACATTTACTGGAAAAACTCTTGGGAAAATTGAAAAATTACTTCTCTAAAGTACCTCGCTAGTGAAATTTCCTTTTAGAAACATTGCTGTCATTAAAAGTTGGAGTAAATTTGCCGGTATGAAAGTTGTCCACAGAATAAAAAAATCGTAATTCATATTTATTATATTTCGTAAATTTTCCCGTTTTTTTTCGGTTTTTCGGTTGTTATAGGAAAATTCTTTAAAAAATTAAAAATGACTTTAATTGACTCTTAAATTACCTCCCCACGCTGATTTTTTTTCAAAAACGGTGCCACGCGTAGAAATCCGAACAAGTGTTCTGGTAGAAAAGTTGCGCACAGATAAAAAAAAAAAAAAAACATCATTGAAAAACCTAAAGCTACTTTGCTTCACTCAGAATCTAAAACTTTTTTCATTGTCTTTATAGGTGGATACCTATTGAATTGAATACGTTGATAAAATCAATTTTATTGTTTCGCTTTGAAAACGTTATTTTGTTAAAAACAAAAAAAAAAAAAAAAACGTATCGAGCACACTGATTTAAAGAACTTAGATGCGTTTGTCGCATTCTTAATAAAAACCGAACATCGCATTGGTAAACTTGACTTAGAATTTCCACAGGCATTAATATATAGGCATGTACGAAAAAAGAAAAACGTTCCCATATCGAACAAGATATACGGTATATATTTTAACAAAACGTAAAATTCGATTTAAGATTTTTTTTTTCTCTTAGCTTCTTGATACATTAAAGTCTGATCTTCATAAAAAAAAAAAAAAAAATTGAATTAAAAGAAACGAACGCAATGAATTCTCGCAGTGGGTTTGTTGTAAGAAAAAGAAAAACCGACCTAAAGGTTTGTGCGTGCAATCACCGTGAAAGTTTTGTCGTGAATCATGTAGGGAACTCGATTCTCGGCTTTATCGACTAATTTTGATTAAATGATTTTTCTTATGAAAATATGTCTGGGATCGTTGCGACGCCATTGATTTTGCGGAAGAATATTAAAATGTTTAAAAAAAAAAAAAAAAATGGTCTTCAATTCGAAGAATATCTCAAGACCACCGAAAAACGTCCTATGTAACTCGACAGTTATATCGATTTCGAAATGTTAAAAAATCGTGAAATACAAATTGCATTACAACGGTCGGTACGGTCGAAACCAAATATTCCATTTATTGGTAAAAAAAAAAAAAAAAATAATAATATATATTTTATCAAAATTCCAATATTAAGATACGCGGTTTTTAAATTTCTTATCGAATGAGATATTGTTTTATCAAAAGCTCTCGTTGCATATTTTCGTATAGACGCAATAACAGTTCACAATGCACGATCGTATACAATCGGAAGTATTGTCGCCATCGTTCTATTTTATTAATTGTTATAATTATGTCATAAATATTATTACCGGTTTTCCGTTCGGCCACGCGAATAAATAACCGTTGCTGTGTGCCTAGGTCTCTTTTCGTCGATAAAAACAATAATATGGTAAACCCTAAGCGAACCCTAAGCTGACCTACAACACCCGATCTTTGCGGCCTCCCGTGAATTGTGCGGCGCGCACCTTATTCACGCGAATTTCTCGGCCGGTCGGGTGACACGCGCGTGAATATAAAATACAATTACACCATTTAAACCTTGCGAACCGGCCGTTAATTCGGGGCTCGCTCGGAGGTTACCCGTCACACCCCGAACACACCGAACGCCCATTACAATTATCCATCGCGATTGAAACGAATGAATAAATAATAGAATTATTACGATAATATTAGTACATACATCACGCCATGTCAGCGAATGTTCGGAGTGCGTTATTGGATCGCGAAAATGTATAATGCATATTTCGTCCGATCTGACCTCGCGCGTTAACCGAAACGGTATTATCGCACTGTCGGTGTTAATATTTTCGTTACGTGTATCGGCGTAACATGATGCGAAACTATCCCGAATAATCGTTATCACTGTAATACGACGATAAGATGATTGCGATTCGCACACTCGGTAATATCGTTGAAAGAACGGCCGTTCGAATTTATTGCTAGGGACATGGGAAAATGTCATCGTGATTAATATCAATTAATCGATTGAAAAAACAATGTCTAAGACGAAATTATAAAAAAATAAAAAATGTTTTCCGCTGCACGGACATACAGAGAAATGAAATGTGCTTCAATTTCAAAAAAGGTCATCTCTTAGTCACCCCCCCCCCATTTCAACGTGTTTTCCTCGAGCTCTCTTCTTCTCGGAGAGTGTGACTTTCCGGTGTCGCAAAACTGTCGATGCATAATGATCTGGTAAAGATATACAATCATTAATGACGCTAATTTCGGTTGGTTCTCCGGCACAATATCCACGTCAATACGAAATATTTGTATTTGTTAGGTTAATTTTCGTAAGCTTAAGTGTGACTCCGGTCGCAGTATAAAGTGCCTCTGTATTTTTCAAGAACTACGGTACCTAATACTCTGCTTATAATATTATGCCGAGGCACTATGTGGGCAAACAATGTCAATCGCCGAAAATATTGTTTGACATTTTTTGACACAGAATATTTGACAATAATATGATGCCTCTCTTTTTTTAAAAAAAAAAAATCGGTTAACTCACAGTCGAGTTTTTTTGAAATCTTCGCGTTTATAGATAATATAATAATAGATCGATAAAACAATCGCTCTGTATTTTAGACGACGAAGTTCGGTCGTCGCATTTCCGGACACAAAGTCCACGGGGACGACGTCAAAACGGAATTATTATAGATTTTCGCTCTAGACGTCACCGCCGCGGTCTTCGAAATAATATTGTTGTAATGTACATATACAGTGCAGTAGTTGGTTTTCTTGTCGCCATTTGATTTTTGCGACGGTCTTCCGGTTTGTAATTTTATTATTTCCCCAATCCTCGAGCGTATACGTACGCCGTGGTACGATACCCGTGGTAAACCAATCAATTTTATACGTTTAAAATTTATACCTGACACCAAAGCCGCAGGACATTCACACCGGTGTTTGGAAAAAACGGATTCAAAGGAACGAGTTCCTATGACTTCGTTCACTTTTCAAGAATCTATCGGAAACGGATCAGTGAAAGAACGTATTGGAATTAGGAAAGGTCATCGTCAAAAGACCAATAGGAAAACTAAATTATAGTAAAAAATTACGGACTTTAAATTTGACTTAAGGAAAAAAATAAATTTTTTTCAACATATTATTTTCATTTTTTTTTTTAATTTTTCATTATTTTCGATTGTTCATTAGCCCTTACATTTTTCCTTTTTACACTAAGCCACAGATCTATATTAAATTATAATTACGCGTATGTAACAAACACGTTTTTTTGGTATAATTTTGAAACGTAGGTATACAGAGTATAAACTAAAATAACTTTACTAGTTTAGAGAAACTACGGATATAATAGTATTATAATCATAATATAGAGACGCGAGCGCGAAATAAGAAATTACCTTTCCGTCGCGTTCGTTTGGTAAAAACAAAAACGCAATCAAAAATTCGTAATATCACGGCTAATATAAGTAAACTTTGTGTAAACCGTTCAGACCGATACGTATACTGCGTATTTTTCAAGAACACAAAAAAAAAATCTATTTGTATGATACTAAAATAGAAAACACTGACTGTTAATAATTGTATGTACGAATATGAAAATTGTAGGGTAGTACTTGCCAGGTGCGATGCACTGGTGATACCCGAATTCCATACCGCTCACTTAAAACCTCTGTCAATAATTTTGATTTTACGAATTAGCAATCGTATATTCAAAATGTGTGCACCCCAACCCCCTCTCCCCCCCCCAAAAAAAAAAAATAATAATAATAAAAAAAGTACAAGTACCACGTGCCAGTGTAACGTTACACCGGTTCTTAACTAGTCGTCATAAAATCGACAAAGGAATATTGTAAGTCGGGTGGGTCACCGGCCCCTTTGAAGTAGACAATTTGCATGGCAGTGCGATAATACGCGAGAACCGTAACATCAAATTATTTTTGGTATATTGAAACGGAGCGGTTCGGCAACAGTGAAATATCTATATTGCCAGGCTTTTTATCTGTCTTCTTATTCCAACAAAATAGTGAAAAGCCTCGGAAAAAATATAAATTAATGCTAATGTATGTATATACATATAAATAAATTATTTTTTTTTATGATGGCGGTATTCTTGTTTTGATGCATGCTCGGGCTAATGCAAATGTCTAGTTTCTGTATATGGTTTCACATTCGCTGCATTAACGGGGTTCCGCGTCCTACACATGACTGTCCGGCTGTCTATCCTATGGCAACGGTCGTCAAACCGTGGGATCCATAAAACTATAATGTTATAGTGGCTCACACGTCTGATCAGTTTGATAATCGGAGAACCTAAACAGTTGTTCGACCAAACTTTTCGTTTGATCTGAGTATAATCGTTTTGGAATAAATTTTAGTTCGTCGACGTCGGTTGGTCGTTGCGTCCGATTTTTGAAATATTATTGTACGAAAAAATATCGGATTTCTCGTTCGGTCGATCGACTTAAGTATATTATATTTTATAGGCATTAAGGCTTGGGACTTAATGAATTTAAATCCACAGAAAATAGTTTAAAAACGTCAAAAGAGCCCTGAAAAAAAATAACTAAAAACCAAAAATGACAGAGGGTTCTGAGTGGTTTAAAATTTCCACCTCCAACCACCATAAAATGTAATTTTATCACACTAAACAAACTATTAATACAAAATAATTTTATGTTTTTTATAATATTTACAATTTTAATTAAAAAGACTCGTGTTAATCACTTTTGCAGTGTTCGAAAATTGTATTTTATAAATTTGAGTTATTAGAAAAGGAACTTTTAAAAACATACAAACATTTTTTTTTTTGTTTTTGTTTTTTCTTCATGTCCGATTTTGAGGCTTTTTAAACGTTTTTAAGCGTTTTTTTGTGGACTTTAAGTGAATAACGTTATAAGTTCTGTATTATAGGTTAGACGCTGAAGGAGACAACCCTCGTTGTCGTCGGTCGGTTAGTCGTTCGGTCGTCGGCTGCTAAACTATGGCGGGAAACAATCAATGCGGTAAAGCTTGCCGGGAGAACAATAATAATACATCGACAGACCGTTCCTTGTTTTTTGTATATACTTTTTTCTTAGGTTTTCACCCCAAGTACGTCAATAATACCCTGAAGTGTTTGATCGATAAAGTTCCACGCGTCAGCTGCAATAACGGCTAGTAGCCAAATAATGTATTTTCGGGAGGAGAATTTGATAACAATAAAAAACTAAACGAAAAAAAAAGTGCTGATACTGCTGATGGGCGTACCGCTGATATAGATGAGAAGTTGGAAAGGTAGGATAAGTACATAAAGTTAATTAATTAATATCTGTACTCTACAATAGGAATCAGTGCTAACAAAAACCTACACTGAGTGACGTTCGGTTTAGCGTATTTGGAAATGTCACGAGTTTTAAGAATTTCATACGAATTTTCACATTATTTACTTATGAAAAACAAAATATTACATTGTACTTAACTTTTTACCAACCGTCATTTACTGAATACAAATTATATGGATTATGATGAACCTTATTGATAGACTGTCCACAACAATTTTATTCGCTTAAAACTACATAAAACCTGAAAAATTAGAAAAATGTAATTAAATATTAATAGCTCAATTGCTCAAAAATAATTTAAACGTTACGTTTCTTCCAAATTCTTTAGAAAACCACCATATAGATGAAAATCAAAAAATGATTTCTTCAGAGTAGCTGTTAAACTAATTTGTAACCAGAAATCTCCCTCAAAGTTGATGGCTGAGCAAGATTCTTGGTAGAAATATATAGATTGTTTTACTGTGATATGTCACGAGTTTTAAGAATTTCATACGAATTTTCACATTATTTACTTATAAAAAACAAAATATTACATTGTACTTAACTTTTTACCAACCATCATTTACTGAATACAAATTATATGGATTATGATGAATCTTATTGATAGACTGTCCACAACAATTTTATTCACTTAAAACTACATAAGACCTGAAAAATTAGAAAAATGTAATTAAATATTAATAGCTCAATTGCTCAATAATAATTTAAACGTTACGTTTCTTCCCAATTCTTTAGAAAACCACCATATAGATGAAGATCAAAAAATGAGTAGCTGTTTTTCAAAGTAAGCTGTTACTTTTGCAAACTTTTGCAAAGTTTTACTGTGATGTGTGTTTTTTTTTTCTTTTGGTATCTGTAAATAACTTTTCTACCAGAAATATTGCTTTAATTACATATAAGTATTATACATTAGTTGACATTAATAGAGTACACACTTATATGTGTAATTCTGTTTTCTAAAAACGGTTTTCTAATACAAAGCTGTTTACTTCGAAAAATTTTAATTTTTTTTTTTTTTATTTTGTATTTTTATTTTGCTCGCATTATTACGTAAAAAACGCTACCGCCAAAAAAGAAACGACTTTATTGCGTCTATGATCACCGGATTCCGGGTAGTTATAATATGTAATTGTAATAATCGTTATGGTTCAGGAAAGCAAAAAATACGAAAACCCCGTAAAGTTATCTGCTGCGCCCGCGTCACAATTATAACGACACGGATGCAGTTATAAGAGATGAAATTATTATTGTTATTATATTTTCGGTTGAATATAGTAACGTATTGTTTTCGTTCCCGAATATAGTAACAATAATAAATGATAATAATAATATCCAAAGAAATCCGATATTATGTTTTTTTTATTTTAACTTTATATTAATATTTTTCGCGATTTTTTTTTTGTTTTGTTTTCATTAAAAAATATAGCGTCTTTGGTGAGTGCTGCAGAGTGTATAATAGTGTTCTTGTTATAATATTATTATTTCATCGTCTACGGTTTTTTTTTTTTTTTATAGTGTGATGAATAACCGAACACTTATATCTATTATATTATACAGTGTGCTTCACTCAAATGGTAAAACGAATAATATTTTAACCCGGACGTATACTCAAATTTTAATGAGAGTGTTTTTTTTTCTACGTAGGAAAATCTGATGTTTCAATGTACGCATTTTGAAATACCGCCTTTTTTTTAGTATACCAGATTCGAATAGCTTTGCAAGGAATTTCGAAAGGTAGACATTTTTTTCTATAATAAAAAAATACCCGAGATAAAATATGTATCCTATAAGATTATCTATTGTAAATTAAATATGGTTTTTCAAAAATTTAAAACGCATGCATGAATGTGATACTGTGTATTTTCACTTATAATTTTTTCTCCCAAAAAGAGTTGTCAAATCTCTGTACTTTTGAAGTCGTGCATTTAATATTGTTTGAAAAATCATTGTAATATTCATTTCTTGGGCGTATTTTTAAGATAGACAAAAATTACGTTAGCTAAAGATGCTTGAAACCGTTAATACTATTTGAATCTGGTGATAAAAATAGGAGTTTCGTATCGAAGAAAATGCAAATTAGTCTGCGCTCGTGCACACCGCGAGGATGAATATTTCTGAAATAGGCCTTAAACTTCCTGAAAAAACAAATCGAGATTTTTCGAATTTTTATTTAAAATATAAACTCAATTATGAACTAATTTACTAGATATTTATTTTTTTCAATGAACTCCCTTAGTCCAAAGCAAATTTATACATTATTTAAAGTTAATTTTACTATTAATTTTTCATTAACTTTATTGTTTAGTATTATTTATTTTATATGACGTATTATAATCTTAAGAGAACATCCATAGGCACAAAAGGCAGGTAAGTTTTCAATTAGTACCGTTATTTTTCCTGAATATTTAATTTCAGTGGTTCGTAAAACTGTGTATACATTTTTATATGAATTTATTTACAAGGGGAATTTCTCCATGTGTCTTGTTTAAAATTAAAATAACAGCTCTTGTAAATTAAACATAACATTTTATTGTACCAATTAATTTTTAAACATTGTAATTATGTACTTTTTTCGTAGTCTCTGCGGATTTATATTATTATCTATAGTGAATAATTAATGTAGCATATTAATTATAACAGTTATAATACGATAATAGAACATAATATAGTTTGGTGTAGTTTATTAAAAATAACAGTTCATTTCGATTTTAACAAGATTTAGGAGATGCCTATCTGTATTATCAATGAATAATAAAAAACGGAATATTATGTTAATTGATAAAACCGACAAGAAACACTAATCAAAATCGTTTAGTTAATCTGTAATAAGTATTGTATATTCTGTAAAAATAATGCAGTGACGCGTTGTTGAAATAATTTGGAATATTTCTATTCGTACTTCCGGGATAGAAAGTGCTGGGGCAAATTATTTGGTTAAAAATTGTCAAGTTCTTTTAAAAGAAAACTCATCACGTTTAGCGTTACAATAGTAATGTTTGCGTCACTCTTACGTATTTTCAACAAAATTATCTACCTAAAATCCCGGTATAAAATCCGGATTCCGGAATCAAAACGAACGGCCCAAGATCGAGTTTCATTAAAAATATAAACTTAATAAAAAAATAAATAAAAGAAAGAAGAGTCGATTAAACAAAAAAAAAAAAAATGTATATATATATGAAAATAATATTCGTGTTTTGTACGTACACTCCTACGTTGGAATTTGAACGAAATGAAACCTTGTTTCCGTCTTTAAAAGTCCGTCCGGCCGCTACATTTCGCGTTACCATTTCTTTGCAGCGCTGAAACTCACGGTGTATAATACACTTAAATCGGACCGAAAGAAATACAGGTACACCCACTTCAAAATTACATAATTTATATAATCGCCTAATATTCTACAGAAAATTATCATTATAATCGTTGTGTATAAATTATACTGGCGGCGGCGGAGAGTTGTATAATAATAATAATAATAGTATTTAAATGTGAAATGATGACTAAGGATTAAAATTACCTCTGTAAGCGCATTAATAATAAAAAAAAAAAACAAATGATTAATAATACTTACGGTCGAAAAAAAAAAAAAACCTGCGCAGCGGAAAACGGAACACAAAACATTTTAAGGACATTCGTCAACAACAACAACAATAATTATATGGCTGCAGCAGATATTATTATATTTTGTTAAAACGTTGTCGCAAAGACGATAAATTTATTTATTCGCGAGATTCCATACGCCGCGACGCTTTCAACGAATTCCTCAGATATTTTTTACGATACGGAGGTTTTTTTTTTAAATTATTAGACGTTCTATTTTTCACAGTTTTTATTATTATTATTATTTTTTTTTTTTAATCCTGCTGTTTCGGCTCACAGTTTTTCGCGCTAATAATATATTATCGCCGAGTGTTCGTATAATAATTTAAATTAAACAAAGTGTATTAATTGTTATAAGGGATCAGAGAGAGACGAAAATATAACGTAAATTCAAATCCTTAAACTTTTTATGTTTACTTAACATTTCCGTCGGGTTCTTGTGCGTGCGTGCGTGCGCGCGCGCGCGTGTGTGTGGGTTACTTCTTCACGGAGATTGAATTCTTTCGAATTTCGATTAAAAACGATTTTATCTTTTCTCGAAGTAAAAAAAAAAAAAAAAGACTGCAAAGAAAAATAATACAATATCATGGCGTGGGTAAAAAAAATATTTACGTAACTCGCGATGATTATGTGCGATGTAAATATAGACCGCGCACGTGTGTCTATATACCGACTTGACGGTTAAATATAAAAGCCGGGACTCAAAACTGAACGCGAAAACTTTTTGTAAAAAAAAAAAAAAATTAAAAAAACACTTATAATAACGCGATTGATGAGCTTAACGACTTTTAGAATAACGGCGTTCCCAAAAAACGTAAAATATATCGTGATAATATTATCAACGCGATTAGACGTTAAAGTGTTTTGACGATATCGAATTTCGGATAAGGATAATATTGAAATAATAAACTAATCATTGTCTATAATTACTATCTATTATTGTTGAAATAATCTCAAAATCTCATCGTTTGGATAATTCGCGCTGGTTCGCGACGATACAATAATTATCTTGGTTTGTTGAAACCAAAAACGAAAGGTCGTCAATATCAATTTTGGTCATTTTTTCTTTTTTTTTTAAAATCATTGTTTTTTTTAACTCGCGGTACATAAGTTCTCGTTTATAGACACAGATATATTTAGGCATGTGCGATAGTTATTTATGACAGTTTTTTATTTTTCCAGAACAAACGAAGAAAAACAATTGGGTACTATAGCAACTATTATATAACCACAGCGGTCATGTTCCCCGTTAGTCCTTATCATTAGCATTTGACGGTAATCAACAGGGAAAAAAAAACGTTATCAACATAAACTATTATCGATACTGATCGAAATACACAATTAATCGATATTTGATTTTTAATTTTCTTCATCGACCATAACCGATAATTGCGCGTTCCTAGACTTAAATTATTATCCTTAAAACTTACGGGTCTCTCGAATCTCGTGCAATCCTCCCCCCTTCCGCGCGACCAAAGAAGTCCGTGGAAAAAGTGATACACACATTTGGCTCCTCTCACACCTAGTTCGAACCCAGCGACGAAGCATAACAAATCCGAGGACTATTTTCGACCATGTGCCGATATGATTGGAATATTTGAGCTTATGTTCCGTGATTTTTTCAGGCGTACGGTGAAAGAATAGCTGGTCACGTTACAAATCTTCCACCGTTTTAGAACTAATGGCCGGAAAATTAAGGGCATTGAATATTTTTCCACGATAGGCTTTGCAACCCGACACTCGAATCGCGGAATTTTACGCCATAATAATAAATTTTACTCGTTCGTATTTTCTATATTATATCATTTTTCCCCTTGGCCGGTTTTTTCAACGTTTCAGACCACATATCGTGACCGGACCACCGCCGCTGTAATGCAATATATCAATATTGTTATTGTCGTTCAAGATTTACATAATATTATTGTCGTATTGTACGAGAATATTCGCGAATAATAAGTCCGAAAATATCACTATATATACGGGCAAAATAATATTATTATTCAAATCGAAAAACCCTATCGCAGTACTCCACGCGTCATTTCCGATGACCCCGTCAGAAAATAAAATATTTGATTTATTCCTCGCGGTCGATTATTCAAATAAAGACAAGTGTCTATTCGGGCAGGTGTAGAGATTCCAGAGATTTAAAATAATTAAAAAAAAAAAAGATCCAATACGCGGTTTGCATAATCGATTGCATATTGTCTGGCTTTCTGGCATATCCGGGGGGGAAAAAAAATAATCCAAATTGAATTATCGAAAAATACTACAAAGGTTTTACGTTCGTGTACCTATATTCGATTTCGAAACGACGGCCTGCAACGTTTAGATTTTCGATTTTTCCAATTTCCAACCGTTTTTCCAGGGTTCAAAATCGTCCGTGTGAATTGGTCGAAAAAATTGAAAATTATCGGTAATCATCTTATTGTGCACGCGGAAAAAATAATAATTTAATAATGTTTGTATATAGGGAAAATATAAAGATTATGACTGAAGATATAAATCTTAAATGAAATAAAATTTACAGTTATCTGGATAGCGGGTAACGTAAAATGAATAATAAATGTAATATCTAAAAACGATTCGTACAAATATAATTTTAGATGGTAAGTAATTCGGATTCAAAACATATTACTTAATATTCAAAATAGTTTATGTATACATATACGTGAGTACTAAGCATTCTGGTTTTGAATACAAAAAAATCAATTTATATAGTACAAAACATACAATCGTACAATATAATATGAAATATTTGTATATTTTGAAGACTTGATTATAAAAAAAAAAAAAAAATGAGACGTTTGAGGACTTTTGATAATATAATACTAAATTTACGAATTATCTTCATATTCCATTTGTTAAGAAGTAAAAATATTTCGTACGAATGTAATTATAATAAGAACATATGTTATTATCTGGTTTTCATACAGTTAGAAGATAAAATGTAGTACGCCCATATCTATGTTATCGTTTAGATGATATTTTTATCTGTACACTGCGTGATCCATCTGATAATACGAAATGTTAACGAGAACGATTCGCGTTTAAAATCGTGATAACAACGATCATAAAATGGCCGGGGAAAACCCGCCGGGACTGACTCGCTGTTTCGCCCTGTATCGCGTGGAAATCTACGGGTTCGTCAACAAAAAAAAAAAAAATCGCCCTGTATTGAGCACGGCATTAGTCGATCTGATAACACACTTATATGCTACGTTTCGTTTGATATTGTCGTCACGGTTGTCCGCTCGAAATCGGATACCGAAACGCGCTATTCGGTTCCTATACGTTTTACGTGCACTACTGTATTAAACGCGCGTATCCCGTCGGGCGTCTGAAAACAGCTATGCCGGAAAAGTCTCTGGCGGAGACCGGTGGTCAATGGAAACACCCGAGGACGGGCCGAGAGTCCGGCCAATGTCGTCGGGCGGGTTCAATAAACGGCCGGGTTTTTCGATTTACCTACGTTACCTTATACCTCGAGCGTAACATTATCGTTGTTGCGTCACTGACCAAACGATCGTGAGCTAACGGTTTTTCGAAAATAGATTTGCCCGGGCGTGTCAGAAAACAGTCTGGGAAAACGGTCACCGGACCCGACGGAGGGCCCAGGCCGGGTTCACCGCGCGTCCGGTGTCTGGACTCCAGACGCCGGAAACGCCGTCGCCAAGAACCGAACCGTTCGGTAATTGTGTTTTTTATCTACCCGGTTCTCCTCGGTTCCCCGAAACGGTAATTATTAACGAAACCGTAAGGGAAACCGAGAACAAAAGCCGCGGCGAACACATCACGTTCAATATTACTTTTGATATTGCGTTTTCCATTTGTCGTGCGATAACACCGCACGACTCGAAACCGCGCCCGGACTCCGGAGTTTCCTAAGGCCCGTAATAAAATGCGTTGGTATTGTAATCGATTTTATGGAGAGAATAACAATATAATTGCACGTGACACTTTAACCTGCTTAACCCTTCAGAAACGCGTAAAAAAAAAAAAAAAAACGTATTTCGTAGGCGTTTATTATTATTTTATTATATGGCACTATGTAAAAAACATATAATGTTATACATTATTATTAAAAAACGCGTCAAAAAATAATAATAAAAAGTATATAAATAACAATAAAAATAACGCACCATTAATCACCATAAAAAAAAAAAAAAAAATATATATCCTCGCGTTGCAAAATAATTTTCATTGTACGTTGCGTATACAACGATATTTTGTACTCGGGACATTTTTTTATTTTTACGAGCGTGGGAGGACCGTTTGATAGATTTATAATATCTGTGTTTGATAATAATAATGTTGCGGGCACGTTGAATTTCATTAGGTGTAAATTAACGTTTTATTTGTGAAAAAAATTTTAGGGATCATCGACAAAAAAAAAAAAAAAAAAAGGTGAGAAAACACTACCGATTCTGCTGCGCCACGGTTATGGGTGGGGCGTCGAAAACGTAGGCCATAAATAGATCGATTTGATTCATACTCGTTCGCAACTCAATATTAAGGAAAAGCAATTTTGAGTGACGCTCGGGTGGTTAAAAACGCGTTCAATGCGTTTATTTCAAAACATTTGGCGCGGATTTTACGATTATCATCGAAGTTAGAACTTTAAACGATTACGAAATTGTGTAAAAAAAAAAGTGCCATTTTCAACCCCGCCCTTACCATATAGATATTTGTATGCTCAAATTTCATCGTTTGTTTCGAAATGGCGAGCATAACGTATTATATACTCTTATTATTATGGTATTCGGTCGTTTATTGTTTTTTCCAAAGGATATTAATTTTGTAACACAAAATAGGTGTGTGGAAATTCGATATCATAATGACGGGGCTCAGCTGCACGCGAGTATTTATTTTTATTATTTTTTGTTTTTTTGTTTTTTTTTTTTATTACGGCCAATAAGAATAACTATTTAATGAATCACGTTTTGTATATCGAAAAATGACCTCCGTTCATCGAGCAGACGGAATTCGGTACACGCGCAGAAACCGTTGATGATTGGAACGAAACCGTGCTAACAGACAGAACGCATTACATTTAATTTTTTCCCGAAAGCGCATAATATATTAATCCTTTTCAAAAATCTAAAAAAAAAAAGTAGGGCACAAGCATTCCTTACACCCATAACTCAGTATCGCGGTAACGACCGCGTGTGTCGCGTTGATTTATATTTTAATTGTTTTAGCCGTACATACGAAGGTATACGAAATTCGCCGCAGAGCAAGTTCAGCGTGAAAGTTACGGTATTGTCTCCTAAAATGCATTATAATATATTATTCAGATAAAAAGTTGTTTCCTATAATACGTTTTGGCGTTCAATCGATTCCGAACGGTCTCCTGAAATATTTTAGTTACCGCAAACACTCGGGAAATCGTGACCTACAAAACTGTACGACCGTTTTTTCCTCGACTGATACGCAGCTTTCACGAACCCATAAGCGCACCTATACCGAGAACAATACGCGTATTTCGGAAACACCTTCTTCTCTTCTTCTACAGCCATACCTTCTCTTTGAGATACGCCTCTCCAGTTTTTAATACCGAGAATCTCAGGTCGTCTTCTAATTCGTCCATCCATTTATTCCCGGAACTTACGCGAGGTCTTCTTCCTCTATAGGTCTCCACTCCGTTTTTGTTTCAAATGTTCTATCTTTACATCTCCTCGTTATATGACCAAACGACTAATGCATTCGTTGCGTTTTAATAGAATTTGGCACTGGTGCTAGTTCCATCATATCGTACCGTTCTCTATTGAACCTTTTTCACCAGTTCTCCGTCACATCATCAATGGCGATCCCACGGATTTTCTTCTATACAATTTAAACTCTTAATCTTTTCTCTGTCCGGTCGTTATCCAAGTCTCACAAATTTACAACCAAGGAACTTCCTACGATAAAATAATCGTTTCGGTAAGCGAATATATCACATTTCCATGTAAATATTCTCTTTCACGTTTTCCCAAACTCGTGTAAAGAACTGCAGTTTTTATCAGATATTTGTATTGTGTCTAGGAACGCGTAGCTATTAAAGTATATTAATTTTCAAAATCAAATGTAGCGCTTAGATTTTATATTTATACCTATTATTGTAATAATTAAAGTTATACATTTATAGGAATTTTAAGTAGATATAGCTTTATTAACGCAATGTCTGATTGAAATACTTTGTTGTGTGATAATGGCATTATCAGCATAACCTTTTAGGTTAAGTATATTGTGTTAACAGTATGTTATCACATCTGATTTTATGTGTGTTCGACATTATGATCAACAGTCTTCTCACGTCTCTGTACATATTTATTAAGTTACCGTAATAAACAAAACTAATGTTTTCTATTTAATTGATAATTAATAAAATTACAAATAAACACAACAATACCGGAAAAAAATCAATATTGAAATTTATTTTGTAATGAGTCACTAACAAATAACTGACAACACAAAATGATAAGGAAAAATAAAGGCAAAATAAGAGAGAGATAATAATATAAATAGGTAAGAGAGTTCTAAAGAGAGGTTATTACGTTTCTGAACATAAAATTGCATATTGCACTTTTTCTTGATATTATTCGGTAATTTTCAAGCGTTAACGTTTATTGCCAGCATTTAATGAGATTTTATTAATGCATTTTACGACGGTTTTTGGTGCATTGAATTTTCACAGTTCTAATAATAAATGCTCCGCCGACACTTTGCCGTCACTTTAAACGCGGTTTATATCCGTCGACCATTAGATATTATTTATTAAATTACGTTTTACGGACGGTCTAAACTGGCGAAAACACTATGCACGGTTGTAGTGGTGTTCAAGTGTTGTGCTTTCCGGAAAGTATTAATAATTAATAATGTTCGCGTATTCGAACAATAATAACACGCCGGCGGGCGGTATTGTATCGACGATCCGCGTGTAAACCTATAAAAACCAATACGATGAAAAACCACAACGGGGTTGCTAACCAGCAACCCAATGCGGCACGGGTTGATCACGGATACGGTCTGTAAATACACAGAGGAGTGCCGCCTATGTAATGTAAATTACAGCAGGCGACCAAAAAAAAAAAAAATAATAATAATAAAAATATATATACATTTATAATACCGCGTACGTTTACTTTTTCCGTCTGTATAGTCTGTAACGGGTACTCGTAATTCCCGCACACAGTGATAAGACGTTAATAATTCATAAACGGCATATTTTTCATCCCGCGTTTACCATCATCGTCCGATCGACTTTGTGCTCCATATTATTACATATACGATACTTTATTGATTTTGTATTATAAAGGTCGACGATATAATGTTTTCCAGAGATTTCGGTTTGGAACACTGCAATAATTTCGGCGTGATGATGATTGATCGCAGCCAGCGACTAGTCTTTGTGTTCGTCCTCTCCCCGTCAAAAAAAAAAAAAAAAAAAATGGTAATGTTTATAGCGTTATATGTAATATTTTACGGGTAGTTTGTCTTCTTTGGTGTTTCTCCGTCACCTCTTTATATTTCCTAGCGAATTCTGCAGACACTATATTATATATAACCCGAACGAGTGTATAAATGTCTACGTTTCTTCAGCCCGACGTATCGTATACAAAAATAAATAGATCTGTCACCGAATATGATATTTTTTTTTACTGGTTCGAACGATAATGTACTTATGCCTAGATAGTATCTAATATAATAATATAATAATATATATATAACTATTTACTATTGTATTCTTTATATTAATATATTATATTATTATTTGCGTGTCTCCCCGAGGAGATTAACCGGAGAATAACGACTGGAAACAGGTGATGCTATTTTTTATTTTTCCTATAATTTCAGTCGAAATTACCGTCCGGAAGGACGAAAATAAGGTTGAATAAAGACCTCGAGCACTGCAGAGCATGTAGAACGTGCGCATCAACAAAATCGGTCGAAAACAGATAATCAGTATTTGAGAAAATGTGCTTACGTAAACTACATGGTCTTGGCAGAAACGATGTGACGAATACACGTTAACGACCGCTAAACGCAGGGTGGACGACAATGCTTAACGAGTCTGATATAGTTGGAGTTCTCAAAATCCGAAGGATAAACTGGACCGGGCGCGTTTCGAGATCAGAAGGTCGATGAATATACGAGATCACAGTGTGGAAATTAACGAGAAAATCCCGAGAAGACCACCAATCGGGTAAATGGTAGATTGACATGGTCAGAGAAAACCAATTAACCTCCCGACTATAAAAAAAAAAAATGATGAACATCACGAACAGGACGGTACACTCAGGGTACGTAAATGGGCGTAAGACAAGTGCAAGGTCTAAATTAAGCAAAAAAAAAAATCGTTTTATCGTTTGTAATTTTGTTTTGTTTCCCAAATTCAAAAACCGTCAAAGTGTTGTGCCGAGGAGCAATAACATAACATTGGGTTTATCGGTAAACACGTAAATTCGATATTCACATATGGTCGATTTTATAATACGCCGCTGCGTGCGCGTGAAATATTATATTAGGTGCGATTCGCTTTTTTGCACAAAAATTATCAAACGCGGTTGTTCGAGTGAACTGTCACGGTCGGCACCTGTCTACTGTTGCGAATAATTAAACATAAATAAAATAATAAAGTAAAAACAAAATCGTTGAAATGGTTCATACACGTAAATAAATAGACTGAGTATAGTGAAAATATAGGAAATAAATATATGAATAAAAAATGTATGTATAAAAATAAAATAAATGAATCAATCAATGCGTCGCTTGGAGTATCATGATGAGTGTATTGTACGACCGGTTTCGAATTAAAAATTCATCGTCGGGTATGTGACAGTCAAAATGTAAAACGCAAAAAGTCAAAATGTAAAACGTAGTTTTCTACATTCTGACTGTCACATACCCGACGATGAATTTTTAATTCGAAACCGGTCGTATCATAATACTCCAGGCGACGCATTAAAGCATTTATTTATATTATTTGTATGTAAACATTTTTTATTTATATATTTATACAATTAAATATTCCCGTACATAATATTATTCGATTTTTCGACAATAATATATAAAACCGATATGGTATAAAATGAGTTTATAGACTGATTTGAATCCAATGGGAATTAATAATAAATCGAAAAGTTATAAGTTCAGTCGATAAAACTTTTGCCCAGGATTCGTTAAAATATAATAATATGACACGTGAATATAGCGCTTTTAAGAACCAATTTATACATCCCTGGCAGTCACTATTGAATTACTATGATTGTTGCCCCGCAATATCTCTAACCCCGATCTTCTGTAAAATGTATGTAATAGTAACTCGCGATCGTGATTTCGAGAGCAATAATGACGACGGAAAACTATCCGCCTTCACCGAAAAACGTTCGGTAACTGTCGAAGAAATACTTAGACTAAAAGAAAGCCGTACTTCGCACAGGTCCAAGGAACCGTGACGTTATTATCAGTCCATAAAATATAATATGAGACTGATAAAAATATGTAAACTGCATGGCAATTTCCGTTTTTTTTTTTTTTTTTTTTTAAATATAATTCTAACAAATCAATTGATACGCTTGAGACCGCGATGGAACTACTACCTGTACATAACTATACATTTTTCCGGAACGATGCTGTTTAATAATTCCACGTTTTGTAATGTTCTGCAGGTCGTTTTTTTTTATTTTTAAAAAAAAAAAATCAATCACGATTGCGACAACTCGTTCGTTAAAGAACGTTTTTTGAGATATCGTGTTTGTTTTTTCATCAGAAAAACCAAAATAACGAAAAAAAAATATTACCTTCAACTCGAACATAATTCAGGTAATTTAAATTTGGCGCTACACTAATTCCGAACGCCGGATAGGTCGTATAGATTCGGGTTCCCTATAATAGGAAATTTGGTAGACAATGACACCCGGAGCAGAAAATCCCAGCCTATCGAAAAAACCTCAAGGAATGCAAATTTATCACGAGCTCCGAAGAATTTTAGTTTTAACGGGGAAGAACGCGGCCGACCAACCGAAAGATTGAACATCAGTAAAATAACATCGGTGTACGTGTACGCATACCTATATAACCTATTTCACCCGCAAACTCGAGGGCGTCGACATACGGCGATAAATAAGTAAAAAAAAAAACTACATAAACTATTTGGGTACTATTGTATTATACACGCAGTTTCAAGAAATCGAAAAATTAATATTACCAATGCATCAACGACGACACGGATATTTATCAAAATTTGCGATTCCGTTCGATTTTTTTGTACAACAAATGACAACAGTGACTGTCATACGTACCTATTATGGATCACGGCGTGTCACGCGAAAAATGACAAAAATCCAAAAAAAAATGACCAATTTCGTAAAATAGTTTCGGTGCAATAAATCTCAAACCCGCACGAACACGTTATTTCCGTAGGAATGATTTTTTTTTTTTTTTGACGTTCCAAAACTGTCAAAATACCATTCTTATTTTTTTTAAAAAAAAAAAAAAGTACACATATATCCACTACAAATCGTTTCTATAATATATATCAATGTATACTAAAATTAATTCTTAAAGACAAGTACCCGGTTTTTATTTTCTCTCTCTCGGTTTTGATAATATTATCGTCTTTTGCAACACACTCTGAGAATATAAATCGTTGCTGTATTCCTCGTACAATTTAATATATTTATATACATACATTCTTTTTTACTTTTTACAAGCGATTGAACGCAATCGTTAGATCCGTTATATTATATACTCTGAAAAATCATCCCGCCGAAAAAACTCGATATCAGTGCTTTTGCAATAATACATTCCAAAAATCCGCGGGTATCCAAAGATGAAATTCCGCGCTGAATAATCGTATTCCGCGTGCAGCACTGTCCATTATCTTCGGATATTATTCGTCGTTTTCTATAGGTTTTATATTTCATTCACCCCCCCCTCCACCCCCTGTTGCAATATCACAGTATAAACGTACACTTTCACTTGCTCTGAACGAACGGATTCATCAACTAGTATTATACATAAAATGGTAAGTATATTTTTTTACGTAGTATTTGTGTCGAACATTTTTTTCTCGCACGATATTGTATAGTAACTGATGGATAACATGTTTAACTATTACTGATGAATTATCGTAGCACATATTTAAATGTATTATTACTGGAGCTTAGGATTTTAAAAAAAAAAAAAACTATTTCTATGAATATACGCGTATGGAAAAAAAGTACAGCATACTTTAGAAATAAAACATAATGTTTATTGAAAAATGCAAACAAAAGTTTGCACACGGTATCTATTTGAAAAACTTAAGAACAAAACATACTAAATCGATTATGACGAAATCCGACGTTGCTAAAGTATTTCTGTTTTTCTATCGATTTTTTTAAGGGGAGGTCGGAGGTTCGGTGATTCCGTCTTTAGAAAATGAACGAAGAATCGTCAGATAACTTTTCATTCCAACGCGCAGAATATATTTAAAATTGTCTACTATCTCTGACATTGATGATGATTCTGAGCGAGTTTTCTGGTCGGAAACTTGTTCACAGACTTGTTGTACCGGAAATCCGAATCATTTGCTGTTTTTCGACTCGTGGACGGGTAAGAATACTTACTGCACCATCAAATAAACCTGCAGTTGATTGCGATTGTGTTTCGGTGCCGATAATAATAATAATATTAGTAGCGTTTACTTTGAAGACGGTTTCCGGATGTCAATGACAGAGGGGGAGGTAGTTTAATTGTGCGGAATTTCCGTACCTACCTAACCACAAAGTCGGGAGAGCTGTAGATTCGTGACCGATATTATTATTATTATTATTATTAGATAACACGATGAGCGACTGTGACGACGGCATTTGCATTTTTGATTATTCGCTGAAATTATTTATGCGTAAGGATATACTAGCGAAAAATCTACAAAACGTTTTTCGATATTTGTACTTATCCATAATAGGTACCGCTGTGCATTACAATAGGGTGAAAAACGTTCGGGAAATTAAAAAAAAATAATAAAATCGAAAATTTACTTCCTGTTAGTCGTGTCGGGTGTTCGTAAACGAATGAAATTTTTTTCAGTAAGTTTGAACGATTTTTCCTTGGATCCGTGAAACTCTTGAATTTCCGTAAGGATAATAATACCGTTGATAAACGATAATAATATTGTAACGATTAAAGCGGTAACCACGGTGTATTATTAACCGTTTATCAGCTTTGCACGCGCCTAAAAATACATCTCGGCCTTATCGTTACCATTACAAACGACAAATCGCGTCATATCGGTTCGATAAAAAAAAAAAAAAAAAAAAACTCGTACCCAGTAACCGGCACTATCGGTTATCGGTATTGGCCCAGTCCTAACAAATAAATACGTTTTAAACGCGTCCTGAATTTCTATTTGAATTTTATCGATCTCGTCGATAACGACCGCCGGCCCCGCACGACGGCCTTCTTACAAGCGCTGGCCCGCGGGGAAATTTTCCCGCGGGCCGGTCCACGATCAACCCCCCCCCCCCCCCCCCCCCCCCCCCCCCNCCCCCCCCCGCCCCGCCCCCCTCCGCGAGTATAATGACAATTTCGCGTTATCGATATCGTTTAGAGAACCGTCCGGATCAATACGGTTTCGTCGGTAACGTTCGCCGTCGACAACTGAACACACTCAACGGGCCGAACGCATTCGCCGAAACCACGTGTTAATGCGTTATCGAGTTACCGCAGTAGGCGGGTACAGAGCGGCGCACGGCGCACCGACGGTCCCGAGGACGTGCGCGAACAATAATACTCGCCGAGCGTTTTGTTCACGGGCCGTTTATCAATATTTCCGTCGGACCTGTCGAACGGTCGTCCGCGGTCCGACAACCGCACGCTACCGCGCTAACCAACCCGGCGAAATTTATTATTATTATTTTTTTTTTTTTCGTATTTATTTTATTATTTTTTTCTCTTCGTCCGTCTTCCCGGAAACTTCTCGGCCGAAACGCGAAACCATACGGCCCGCATAGCATAATATTTTGCGGCGCGCCGGGACCGACGGCGCAACGGTCCGTGTCCGTTCCGCGGAAATCGCCGCCGCCGACGTACATATCGCGCGATCGCGCGTCGTCGTCGTCGCCGCCGCCGCTAAACTCCTCCCCGCCCCCACCTCCCGCGGTCGGCGCTTTCAACGGGTAATTGATATTTCCGAACGATATATTAAGTCTGGCGGGTCTGGTCGAAAACGAACCCGGACGGCGATCATGTCGTTTTCAGGCGTTTGTTTACCCGCAGTATCGAATGACGAATAGGGGGGGGGGCCGCGGTGCGAGGAGCGCGCGCCGGTTTTATATTTCCCGGCCGTCTTATGCGCAAACCCGATAATCGTTTATCGCGACCGCGCGTGTACCGCGGACGGACGCGACGTCATCACCGCCCATGTATAGCGGTCGCCCGTGTACGGAGTCGGTACCCAAATGCCCGCCGCCGTGTTAAATAAGGCGCTCGTACCGCTTTTCAGCTTCGAGGGCGTCGTTCGGTGCCTCGGGGCCGGCCGTAAGCGTTTTTTCGCGGTTTCCTATAAAAAAAAAAAAAAAAAAAAAAAAAAAAAAAACGTTCCGGTCGGTCGGCCGTGATGTAACGCGACATTATTTACGGTGTTGGAAAAGTTCGTTTGCATGAGGAATCCGTTCCCGTCGCCTGTTCGTACGGCGGAACAGAAACCGTTTGCCGTTTCTCGTTTCTATATTGCACGAAAAAGGAGCGCGTTCAATCGTGTTTTTTTTTTTTTTTTATATATATATACTCTCGTCGACGTCTATTTACGTCTCAAGCACTCCCAATTTTCGTTTTAAATAACATGGACCCCGTGCACGTCAGAATAAACCTCCGTGGGTCTGTATAGACTTTCCCTTTGGGAATCTTTGTATTGGAATATTCGTTCTTATGACGTACATTTTTTTATTATATTGCCACTCTTAAATGTTAATGTTAAATACAGCTTGTGATTAAAACGAAAAAATAAATAAACGAATATCGCAGCATCGACTATTATTGAGCGAACAACAAATGCGGATAGAGATACATCATCCGAGATACAATATAAGTATACTATCTGTTCCCGAACATTACGATAATCTATACGCCGTGACTATCTAGTGAATCCCCTTTTAAAAAAATTTGATTTTCTTGCCAGTGATTTTTGTTTTTCATTTGTGTGATCCGGGTAACCTATAAAAAAGAATAATTCGAAATATAAGACCTAAATCCAATGACGCCCATAGCGATTGCATTCCGGTAAACAAATTAAACTAAATATTATGCCTGAGGATTGTTCTCTACTATTTACCTACTCTACTCTAGTCTACTGTTCTGTACTCTGTCTTGCACTGAAAGTACCTACCATTGAAATCGGTTGGGTTTAGGCCAGCATTTATTTCGGGACAGCGGCCGGGGTGAGTATTAACCCCCAGGGAAAATGTATAATTTTACTCCCCGCGTTTGAATAACGACCGCAAATTGTTACGAAAATATTATGTTTATAATATTGTGTCTAGTAACATAAGTACTTATTACACGGAGGAATAATAATAATTATTTTACTGAGTATTAAGCACTCCCCGGGGTCATTCGCAGCACTTAAAGTCATGACGTGTGAACATTTATTTCTACGAATGTTATTACGATCGACACCGAGTATTGTGCAGTTATAATAAAATATTGCATTTGCTGTACAACCTGTGGTTACCTTGGTTTGTCACGTTTATTATGTTCGTTTACGTGTTTATTATTTCGTTCTTCCTGTCACCGCAGACGTAAATAATAATACATTTTTAAATATCCAGATAACGATAAGAGATAATTGCTACGCGATCGCAGCAGATTTCACAGAGAACTTGTTTCACGTCCGTCACGTGGTTCGTTTCATTTAAATACAACGTTTACAATATCTAAATCGATCGCGTCGCAAGTAATCGGTTGATTAACCTGCATTTGGTGTTTTTCATTTAGCGTTTTTTGCGTGCAACATTACATAATATTGTATCTGAATTGATGTATTATATTTGTTTACAATTTTAGCAATTGTGCTCCGATTTTCAATTATAACATTTTTTTTTTGCCGAAAGGAAATCTGTCCGGGATGGTACTCTGGTGAGATCATTTTTTGATTTTCCTAGCTAAAAATAGATGTGGAAAACCGGGGGGAAAAACGTAGGGAAACGGGAAAATAGGTACAATATTAAATAGATATTATTAAAGAAAATATATAGTGCATAGGTTTGTAATTATTTTATCAAATTATATTATCAATGGTTTATCGTCGGTTACGGGTATAAATGAATTAACTTTATGTATCTCGCATTTCCCACTACCTACCTACAACAGTGGCCCCTTCCATCCCCAGTATAACCTCAGTATTCCTGAATAGAGACTATAACATTTTAGATCTTAAATGGCGTTTCTTAAAAAAATCAATAACACAGTGTCTGTAATTGTGCGTTTGAAATTTCTGTTCGGCCAAAAATTTCTATCGTAGCATTTAATACAAATTAACTAGTTAGTGTTTAAACATGATTAAGCTTTGAATTGAGTGTTGATGAAATTCAACAAGTGATTAAACCAATAATTTTAATCGCGATTACATCGGCGGTGAAATTGAGCATAGATATTTAGGCCTACGTACTCATAATACATGATTGAATAATTCATAACCATCTCCAAAAATAATATCTGTCAGTTGCATGTGTCGCCGCCAAGCGTGCCACACTCTAGTCGACTCTAGACGTTAGTCGAGTGGGAGTCGCTAAAGTGGGGAACCGCGGAATGCGTATAATTTGTAAGGAGCGGCGCGCGTCATTTCCAGTTTGTTTTTGCTCACTCTCTCCAAACATACCTAAATAGTTCGTCTATTACATGCACAGATATTGCAGAACCGAAATCGGGCTACTGTAAAATGGTAATTCCTAATTATTTCGATACATTTGCAGTAGTCGCAGTTGCCGTACGTGTATCTGGCTTCCATATTTGGTCTTTTCTTTATTGGATCTTCTTGCGGATGGCAGTTGGCGTTGTCTGCCTTTTGGCTATTGCCATACCTACGTTCGAACGTGCTAATTCGTTCATACCGGCCCGCATGCGGCCCATACAAACTACGTAATATCGCCACAAAGCGGAGTGAACATTAAACGACTCCGTGGATACAGCGTCGGAAGCGTCCGCTTGCTACGGTGATTGTTATTCGTTTGCCTAAAGGTGAACAGTGTTGCCATTCGTGTAGTATTATCACTTAGTAAATAAGTCTACGGTACGACGACGGATCCGTTCATTTCGTAGTTCATATGAGGAACCTATCCGATGCCGTGTCTTAAGTTTTATATTTACGAATAATCACTTCTGTACTTTAGATAATTGATTAGCGCGTGCGAAACGCAACGATTTGTCGAAACCAACGCCCGTTTATATTTCGTTCCATATACTTTTCTAGCTGTTACAGACAACCGAGTTTAGTGATAATTATTATGTTCTTGTATTAGACGCTTAGGTAATTAGGATTTGGGTTAGGAAAACATCGCGCCCGATAATTTGTTTATTGACACACCGTCGACGATAGCGCGTATTTTCGAATCCCAACTGAGCTAGGGTATCTGGTTAGTGCCTCACCGAATCCGGTTAGTGTCTATCCGTATTTGGTTGGTATCCGCGGCGTTTCGTAGGGGCGTACACAATGGGAAATGAGTAGTCCTAGCCCCATATAGCTTATGTTATTGTTTATAGAGCTATCAGAAATATTTATTAGTTCCTAACGATTAGTGATAAACAGTGCTAATGACAGATTTTTCAAATAAAATAAATTTATATTTATTTTTTTAATTTTAAATTGTCATTAATACCTATATGTTTTGTTAAAGGAAAAGTGAAAATAATAATACATAATACAATATATTTTATTTTAAAGAATTAATTGTATTTGATAAAATAGAGTTAAAAAACTGGTATATTGTGTAAAAAATACTGAGCCGCTATGCATTCATTTTATATTTTGTAAAATTATGTGCCCTAAATCGGTTAAGTTACGGGGTACAGACAAGGCACCACAGACCTTACTTAACAGTCTAACCTAACCGGATACGTGCGCTCGTGCCTCATCTCAGTTAGGGTTCGGGAATACACCTGGCCCTCTCGACCCATATGTTTTCCTGTTCATAACATTCACACACTATCACTTTTATTATACAAGCATTGTGTACACATTACACAAGTTCAGTACCTACTATCATAATAGTAATAATAACAACAATAATATCATTTCATTCAATGCCTAAGCCTTCACCTTCTCACGTCCACGCCACGACTTTCAGCTTATTTTTATTCTGTTACGTTATAACAATAATTGTACTATGTCAAATACATGGCTTTACTTTTATTAAGGAAGAAACCTTAAATATGTGACTTGTCCACTAATTTACTGGGTATATTGGTGTCTATTATGTTATTTTTGACCATTATATTTGCATCATATTATTAGTATCTTTTTTTATTTTAATTTTTAGTGCGTATAATTCCGGTCTTTAGTTATAATGATCGTTAATTATATTGTAAGACTTTTTGGGTGGTCACCATCTATTTAGACCCTTATTCATTGTCATTTATTTATTTTAAATATTGTTCGATAACAATACTCTGTGAATTTAACGTTAAAAACAAAATTTAGGAATAAGATATTTTTGAAAACAATACTTATAATTTTTATAATAAAATGATAAGAAAAGTATGACCGTTAATACCTTAAAGGATTGTAAGATTTTTGGAAAATACTCAAAAATTCCAATTCAACGGTTTCTATTTTGTACACGAACGCACGGAAATAAAATTTAAACTAAGGCCAACGACACGTCGTGTATTTTAAGGTCGAAAACCCTTTTAACTGCGCAATTGATTTCTAAACACTGCGAGATAACAAATCGTTGCTTTTACATTTGAAAAATAATCCAACCTTATGTCACCGCGCCGGGCAACCGATGAACCGAGACAAATACTCGACACTTAGTCTCCCGTATCGATGTATTTTTTTTCTCCTCTGTCTGTTTTAAAACGAAGAAGCAAATTGATTTAATTTATACTTGTTTTATTTAGTCATTTTATCAGAAAATATCGAGGCATATTGCGAGCAATGGTTCGTAAGAAACTCTGCACAAAATCGCGTCTCTCCGTCAAACGATACATTCGATAGAATTACATGTTCTTATTTGAAATTGGTGGATTTGCGTTGTAATATACACGACTTACATTATATGTATGTCAATCGATAAATCTGAGATCGGCGCAAGAGGAAAACATTAGATTTCCATGTACGTTTAGACCACGGAGTTTGTTAGCTAATAGTACCTAAGCGAAGTTATTAGCAATTTACAAATTGAACTTTAAATAACAGGCACACGCGCGCCATTATTTTCTATTAAATCTAGAACGTCGCGAATTGCGATTACAGCGTATGCATTAGCTCAAGTTTCGGTACAGCACGTTTTCGTCTGTATAGATGGTACGACATTATCGACGAAATTATGGTTATAACTAGATGTCCCACGTTCCCGGCGTTGCCCGTGCTAATGTTTTATTCCTTTTGCCTTTTTTTCCGTTTTGTTTTGTCCGTATCGGTATATTAAACTAAAAAAAAAATTAGTGGAAATTCGGTATTCCACGGACTTCAAGTGTTTCAGTGTGTTTCATTCGTGTTACCATAGATACCCGCAAATTACAGGGATTAAACTATGTATACACTATAATAACAACCCTAAATTTACGAGGACATAACAGTATTGTAGTGTTGTTACTGAACAGAAAAAAAAAAACGAAGATTCAGAGATGACGTTTTACATGTTATCACTTTTCACTTACCCACTCAATATAGCGCATAGTTTGTTTTTTTTTTTTTTTATTTCATCTCTGTTATTGTGGTAATCCATAATTCAACAAAAATAATTTAATTTTCGTACCAAAAATATCGAAAAAACTTTCACCATTCTTTATCGTCTACATCACGTTTTATATTTGTGACAAAAAGTAGCCTATGTTTTTCTCCAAGGTCACACTTATATCTATACTAAAATTCATCAAAATCCGATCAGTAGTTTTTGCGTGAAAAGTTAACAAACACCCATCCATACGTCCTCAAAAACTTTCACATTTATAATATTATTAGTAGGATTATTTGTTTTTACTTAATTAATATCTTAAGCTCTTAGACTCGTCGGAACATATTTTCCGCCCTCAGTAAGCGAAAATTTTATTGCTGCCATTTTTGACGATGATTAATATAATTTTTCCGCTTCGATTCACTTAAAATTGTATGTTGCCCTAGAGTAACGCATGCTTTACGTGTACCCTAGCGACGGGCTTGCCCAAAGCTTTTATCGACGAGCGGTAAAATTGTACAATAATAATGAAAGAGGTTAAAGCAAACGAACCACGATAGTTTAACGAAAACCGCCATAGTAGGGGAAGTATAGTAAAGTTTCGGTGGAAGAAACGATCAGAGAATAGAGTATCAACGAAACTAATAATGATAGACGCGGATAATGATAGCGATGTGGATTCAAAGGGATTAATTTACGAACAGGGCGGAGGCATGCTGGAAGTCCGCAGTAAGTATAAACCGATTGAAGACGAGAAAAAGAATAATATTTGATTTTCGATTCGATTTGTGTATATGCGTAATAAATTGCTAATAACATATTTGTTCGATACTATAAAGAAATTTCGATCAGAAAAAAATGTATCGGAGTATTAATAGGAAAATTCAACGAAAAATGCGTTTATTCGTTTATCGAATATATTTTCAGACGAGCTTTTCATACTAAATTGTACGAATTTTTTATCGGATGGCAAACGAATCAGATCGTTGCGATCTGGAATTTTCGATAATGATAATATATTAACGTCGTCTTCGCCGTCGTAGAAAAATGAAATAAATATATGTGCGTACATATGTTTATAATTTACACTAAAGTAGAATGATATAAATCATCAAAAATAACGCACCGCGCGTAAGTTCTGTTCCCCGAGGGGTCCAATTAAAACGCGGCGGCGGAGAGAAATAATATTCCGTGATTCGGTCTCGGTGTCAGTGATATGTATACGTATCCGACTTAAAATTACTGTATCGAATATAATAAGCCGCCGCGAAACTTTTGACGCCGGTAATATTTTAAGAGTTTTCGCGACAAAAAAAGAAATGTTTCACGGTTTCCGTCGCGCGAGTTAATCGACCGTTAAAGTTAAACCTTCGCTTATTATTGTCTATTAAACGATATTCGCGTTTGTCGATAATATACGTAATTTTAAATAATTTTCGATTTTTTTTTTTTTTTTAATTTTCGCGGTTTAATTTCTACGAAATTATAAATATATACGCAGGCAGGTAGTTAACGGTTCACGGTTCACGGCATTCGAACAACGTTCACAAAGCTGTACGCTGTACGGAATAACAACGAGGAACAACAGGAAAGACGCATAAAGTTATTTCATTTATAGCTGTACGCAACGATAGATCATTGCTGACGAAATACGATTTTGATCTATATTTGGAAATGTCCGTCATTTTAACGTGAAAAAATACATATAAAAATAAACTAAAATTATTCATACGCTTAAATTTTTTTTATCACTCGTTTATAATGAACCTCCGGTTAAACTTTTAAGCATTTCTAAGCGGTTAAAACTATTTTCTTGTTACACGTAAAATCAAATACAATTTAAAAAAATAAAAAAACAAACAACAAATAATTATAAATAACTCAAAAATCGGCAAACTATTTGAAAATTTTACCACGTCTAGAAAAGAAAAATGTAAGTACTATAATACAATGTATTTTAACCAATTCACACCAAACAAACCAAATCGAAATAATTGAATCGTTATTGCCTTTTTTTTTTTTTTTTTACGTTTCTTATAATTATTTGGAAAAATATAAGTGAAATTAAAAAACTACTTTTCTAAACACTTGCTAGACAAAATTGTGTTTCAAATAGTTAAGATAAAATTTTTGCCGTAAATTGTTCGTTTTTCTTAAAATTATGATAAAAACTAATTTCTAAAATAGACACAGACCTTTTAAATATACTAATATTACATATTATACACAAAATTCTACAAAAAGTTCTCTTATCATCTTTTGATTGAAATAAGAATTTTGTTAGAGAAGTTTTACATAAGAACTAAAAAAAAAAAACACATTATTATTGTTATTTGCAGAAATCACAAATTCGACGCTGTGCTCAGAAACTTAAAGGTTATTACTGCTGATAGGTATGATGCCACTATTCTAGGAATAAAGTTGGAAAAGAAGCTATACAGATTAATTTAATTTACATTTGTATGCAACGAACCATTGTAAACCATTGTTAACGAAAAACAATTCTGAACAGAATATTATTAGTTTTATTTCCCCTTTGTTGCCAAGGTACCTAATCCAGAAATCCACAAAAATCGATGAACGTTCAAACATTTTACGATTTATTGATAAATTATTATTATTTTTAACTTTTAATTTATAGGTTAGATTCGAATGAGGTTCATCGTTCACTCTATTTCAGACCACTTATGCTAATCGAAATTATACGTGACACGATTTTAAATATTAATTCTTCACTAAAAATGGATAATATTATATAATGCAATGTTTGTATTTTTCATACCTATACTCGTGTATATAGCAACCGCGAACACAATGAATATTATTTCATTATGATACAATTGAAAAAAAAAAAAAGTCATAATATGTTTAAATTCCACTCAAGTGCATGTATACGAGCACTTTATTAAATTACACACAATTAAAACCGAAATACATTTATGCAGTTAACCATAAGATTAAAATTATGTGCAAGTCTATAATTTTTGTTTTTTGTCAATTCAATGTGTTACTAAAAATTTAGTACTACGTCATTCATTTCTTTAAATAAATCGTGTTATAATACTATAAATATGGTTATTGACAGTAATCTCTCGTATCACATAACTACCCATCATAATATAATATGATAATGAATAGAAGAATTTCGTGGTTTTTTTTTTGAAGATTTATAAAACAACTAGATAATCGACTGTTTGATAAATTCATCCCATAATAGCCACGACGTCGGCGGTCACACTACGAGTATAGCACTACAGAAGCAGATATGTGCATCCGCCATTTTGTTTGCAAAAGATTTGAAGATAATCCGTTATAATATCTTGATATTGTGAATATCATATGGATTTATGTATAATTGTATAAATGTAATCGTTGTTCGATTTATTTCTTAGCTTATTACTCAATACTAATTGTTAGTTATTTAGTATTAAAATATTTTGGTATGATCTAATCTATGTTTGAATGATCAATATGACCATTGGTTATGAATACTAGTATTTATAATACTTAACTAAAGAACACAAAAGTACCTAACTCATTTATGCAACGACCTGCACTGTAGGCAACACTATATTAATAGTATCACTACATATATTATGGCTCGTTTGTCTACATCTGATGATCCGATGCAGGTTACAGAAAATAAAACAGTTGCTGCTAATGAAAATATATAAGATATAAATATAAGTATTATAAACATAAAATAAGGTTAGTGTTTAGGTTTTTTAAACTTGGTAATTGAAAAAAGTCTTAGAAGAGCCATTGTTGAAAAAAGAGCTAATTTTACTGCAGAAATGTGCTTACAGATTCTCAAATTGAATTCTTTGTGTCTTTAAAAGTATTTGCATTGGCAGAAACAGTATCTGCAATCTGATAGGAAACGTTGTTATCAGTAACAGGTCTCTATAAAAAAATTGTAATTATATTAATTGGACTACTGCCTAATTAACTGAACTATTGAACTACTGCACGTTAAGCAGTTTAGCAAATAAGACCAACCTTAAATTAATTAATTTACACACAATCCGCTTCAACATTAATAATAATAAATAATTTGTATAATTTACTTTATACAAGGAGTTTCTGGAGGTCGTTATTGTTTTTTGTGGATTAGGAATATCAAAAATAGTAGGAATTGCATTGCATATCAACTTTTTTGTTCCATCTATTCGATTTTGTTCAAACTGATTATTCTCAAAATAAATCTATTCAAATAACAATTTAGTATAGATGATGAATAAACATGTGATACAAATAAATGTGTGTTTGCTTAAATGGCAAAGTCGTGTTGAATCGGTTGGAACTTGGAATCCATTCATCCCGTCTACTATTAATTGTTCGAAATTTTTACGTTTTGGGTCTTTAGGAAACCGACATAATCGATAGCCCTGAGTATTTCGATTAGTACAGTTTCCTGCAGAAAATGACATTGAATAATTAAATAGCTGAATAAATAGTTTTAGTAGTTTAATTAAACTTTGTAGTTTAAATTTCTGTAGTTCGGTAATCAGTATAGCTATCATAGTCAATCAATTTTAATCTATCAGTTTTATTGCAAACAAAATGGCGGATGCACATACTCAAACTTATAGTATCTTACTACGAGAAGACTAAAAATTATATCGATTAACAGTCCAGAGATATTACGAACCCTGGTTTTTAAAGTCAAACCGAATCGTACCGAACTTTTCTTAAAATTAACGAACCGAACATACTCATTTTTATTCGAACCCGAACCGAACAGAACTTAAAATATTTTATCGAACTCAAAGTCGAACGTTAAAATAGTAAAAAGGTTAGGTTAGGTTAGGTCAAAAACCTAGGTTTTCAAACTGCTCGGCTCCGTGATTTACGTTTATGAGACCCACTAATGCGAAAAATATAGATCTTTTATTTTTCTTAACAAGGCCGCTCTGTCTCATCCGAGAACATCGTATTGGTGACCGCGCAGAATAGGCATCGAGTGATTTTTGGGTGTTTGGTTTAGTTCGATTATTTGCAATTTTCGAACCGAACCGGACACCCTGAGTAATTTAAAGTGTTTGCGCTAAAAACCGTGTGCGAGTTGATATCCAAAACGATATCTGATGAATATGTTTCACATTTTTTGCAACGTAGTACAGTAATATGTGTCGCATATCTGCCGCCCTCTTCAGAAGAACCGAACTTCAAATTTACTCATAGATTCGGCTATTCAGTTGTGTATTAAAGCCGTAGTATGTCTTCTACGGAAAAATAACAATAACTATTATTTTGAATATCGAAACAAAATTATCGTATTTCAATGCACGAACGAATAGTCAGAAGAAAAAATAAACAGAATTCTATTTTGAATTGATATCATATACTTATTATTGGTTGTAGATTATACTACACAAATAGGTAATAATTATTTTGAAACGCATTTTTTTTTTTTTTCAAACCATCAATACCCTCGTTAGAGAGGAATAATTTCGATACTATTGTGCGCGCGCGGTTGAATTGAAAACACATCCCGCGTATTTTATACGACGGAACGAAATACATAAAACATTCGACATTTCATTACAAGCGGTTCCCAAACTTGTATACGGCCACCGCGAGAAACAGAACGGTTGTGTTCGGTGGAACGCGTAGTAGCCAACTATTCGCAACTCGACCCAAATATTTCTATTTCGTTTTATTCAAATTCGTTATTTAATATATTATTTTGTTTATGATTCAAAAAAGCACACACACGCTATCGTGCGAGTGACGCGGTTCCATACTTGTCCGGGAGCGCATTTACATACCGTATGCGAGTCCGCCCCAAGAGCAGTGGCGAATCCGCCGTGGTTTTCTGTCCGCTAGGTTTTACGTTTACACTTACGGCCCGACTATTTCGGAGCGTTATCGGGTTTGAACCGACAGACGGGGCTACGTTTTTCCATTTCCCCTCCGCATTATCTATACCCGTGGTGGTTTTTCGTCGACTGCGTAGTAGGTTTTAGGATGGAGGCGGTCTCAGATCGGACCAATAAGTGGGTTTTCTGTTTTGTAAAATACCCTATTGACTGACTCGGTCACGTTTCAACTTGGGCCGAACTCGGACACGGTCTGTAAATACGCTGCCGGGGACCTCTCGTGATTGAAACAAAAAAATTCTGGAAACCGCTGCTGCCTGCTGCTATAGGCGCCTCGTGCCTATACAAAACACAATACGCTGTTACCTTCCGAAAATGTGATAAATCTTCGGACAAACCTCTCATTTTTTTTTTCTCTCTTTAATACAAAACGTGCACATCTCTACGTTGGCACAACGGATGAAAAACGGCAGCGATGCGTAGGTATTTTATGTTTTTAAATTTCCAGCGCACTGTACGGAACCGAACGCGTGAAAAAAGGGTTGAAGGGTGCAAATAAAATATGATTCGTGGAAATGGCGTGAAAACGTAAAATAAATAATATTATGTACAGTATTGTGTTAAATAAATATGCCTGCCTGTATCGCCTAAGCGAATGAGAATTAAAATTAATCGAGAAAAATCATAACAATAATATTATCATACTCGTTCAAATTTACGGTTCTCGAATCTTTTGCATCGCTGCTTCGACGACGGTAAGCGGTAGCGGTAGCCGACGTTATATTATGGTTTTGATATTTGTAAGACTTGCCGGACTTGCTAGGCGACGAAACCGGAGAGAATTTGACGCACGGCGAACGGAAAACGTTCTTAGCTTCGTTCGATTTAACGCATTTCTTAGTAACAGCAGAATTACCTAAAAGAAAACCAATAACAACAAAACATCAGTATAGGTATTTATAATAATATTTTGTACTGTACAATATGTTAAATGTTAAGTAATAATAATTCCAATGCAGTTTAACCTATCTGCTTATCGAACCGTTCACCGATAATAAACATAATTCGCCGTACAACATAATATGTCACAGGTAAGTCATAACATAATTTGTGTCAAGTTCGTAAAACATCGGTCGACCTTAGGGGGAGATGTATAAAAGAAGTTAAACGTAGTTTCGTGAAATAAAAAAAAAAAAAACCGCCCAAAAACCAATTATCGCTCAGTCTAAAATAAATAAATATATACTGTTTACTCAACGAATGTTCGTTTTACAAAAAAAAAATTGTCTACAATGCCCATGCGTTTAGAATAATAATGCACGGTAAAAGCAAATATTCGGAATTCGATAATATTATCAATCAAATAGCGGCTCTCAAATGATAATATTCTTCGACGATCGAAATAGATATCATATAGGTATGCGTAATCGCGCAAATTGAATTGTATTAGAGGAAATTATTATGTCCGTTTGCGGTACATTTCACCATCTGATGTTAATATATAATTATGTACGTCACGACGAACGCATTGTACGGCTGCAGCCGCATCGGCATTATTTCATCAAAGACGGTTTATCGTCAAACGTGAAGTATGTACCGTAATTATAATTCACCGTGTACATAACCGTGTAATTGCAGTTATTGTTACGATTAGCCGGCTGCCTTTCTTATAGGCTCGAAAAAAAAAAAAAAAACCGCCAAGATGTTGCGGATATTTTATTACATCACCGTACAGAATAATATTATGCCGTTCACGGCCATTAATGTAAACAAGAAGTTAAGAATATAAGATGTATGGAGTAATTCGATTTATAGTCATTTACTGTCTTTTTTTCTTCTTCTGTACATGACTTTTGAGACTATTCCGATAACCAAACTCCTCATTCTTTATGTTAGGTCATCTAATAAAGTTACCAATGATAATTTGAATTACTTTTTCAATTAATTTAGATTTTTAATATGTTTTTCTTTTTGGTTCTGAGTGGAGCGAGGAACAAATTGGTTTTACAATGATGTTTATTTTTATTTTATTTTTATCGGTGAATAAATTTTCTACCAGCAATTATGCTCCCGTTTTCAATTAAAGCGATTTTTTTTTCTAAGGAACGGGACTGAGACGATACTTTAAATCGGTCATGTTTTATTTTTCTCGGCTATTTTCATAATAAACGGGAAAATAGGTGTAATATCAAACAAATATTATAAAAGAAAATTTATAATGCATATGCAATTATTTTTTCACAATATTACATATGTAATGTTGACTAATCCAACTTGATCAAACTCTGCTCAAAATCGGTTAAATTTTGCATACAGATATACATTAAATTCGCCCCTTTACCATCCCAACCTATAACAGTGACTTACCCATCGTACGAAGTATGTCCGTATCTTTTTTCATTGGTTCAAGTAGCTATTTAATATAGTATCATATAATTCATATAACGATCGAACGATAAAACGGACGAAATAATTGAAAGTTAACAGCCAATAATCTACGGCAGCACGCGGAGATATGACAATTTCAACCGACGATTTATAAAGTATAAAACAATATGTTTATACGAGTTTTCTCATTTTGGCTTTTTTTTTTTTTGTTTACTGATTTTTAGTTACTCGATTATACGCATAGAGAACGATAATTGTAATACATAGAAAGAAAAAGTTTCTATACGGCACAGTTGCTGTTAATATAACTGAACAGTTCGATTGTCGCGGCATATGGACGATAATACCTACATAAGTACTCCTGAAGCGATTTTAATACAAATCTCGATAGTCGAGACCCATGCTATCGCTCGTCCGGAGTATTTTAATCGCAAAACACCTCCCTAGATTTGTTGTGCAAACTTTTTTACCAAGAACCTTGCTCCGATGTATAAAGTGTAGATTATTTTCTGAAAAGAAATTTTATTTGCACGATAACTCGATGAATATATTTTTGGATTTTCCCGATAAATGGGGAAAATCGCGAAAACCTGAGGAAAACGAGAAAATGTACAAAATACATGAGTAAAACATTACGAATTTTTTTTTTCTGTAGGCAACTTTTCTACCGGCAATTTTGCTCCGGTTTACAATAACAGCACTTTTTCTAAACGGAAATCTGATTGAGGAGGAACTTTAAAAAGGTAATTTTTCGATTTTCCTAAGAGTTTTTCCGGAAAATGAGAAAAGCCGGGAAACACGGGAAAACCGATACAATATTAAACAAATATTATTAAAGAAAATATATAATGCTTATTTAATTATTTTACCATAATATGAGACATATATATATATATATTGCTGACAAAGCATCACTATCGACTGAACTGCGTTCAGAATCAATTTTTCCTTGGCAATGGTTTGTCGTCGCTTACAGATACGCATTAAATTACCTATATCAATGGCTGCACCCTACCCCGTTATTTTAGGAGCGTAAACCAGTCGAAAAAAACACCGTACCGGAACGTATGTTATTGTAACCCAATGCTAAAACCGACCCGTGCAGCTGCACGACGCGCGCGAGGTCATGCGCCGTGCGGTACGCGTCGTACACGTCCGACCGGGATGATCCCGGGGAACTCGGACAACACGACCGCGTACGGGAAAACCGCGGCCCCCGCAATGACCGCGAGATCCCGAGGGAGACGGATTCTTGAAAAACGCGAACTCAGGGTACCGCCCGCGGTCGGTCCTCCGTAAAATTCGGGAGCGGACGGTCTTCGGACTCGGGATTTCGCGCGTACGACTGGGGTACACGGCAACGTACCCGGGAAACGCGCGGCGTGAACCGCTGACCCGCGCAGTAAACGGGACACCGGTCGCGAACTCGTCGCCGGGATTTCGTTTTCGGTGCTGACCGTAGACGATATTACAATGTACGGCGTACGTATACTCGCGCGCGGTTCTGAAACGAATCTTCGGCATACGGTTTGTTTTCATTTAAATGTTGTTTTCTCTCTCTCTCTCTCTCACAACTCCGCCACCCACCCCCCAATTCCCTCAACCTACTCTCTATAGTTTTTCGCTCGCCCGAGTCGCGTACAACGTCCCTCGTCTCCGTCCATTCCGCGCTTTTGTCACGCCAAAATGACAAACGTAATGGCGCGTACGGCGAACGCATAAACACACACACGCACACACACACACACACACTCGCACACATACACACACACACTCGCACACATACGTGTAGACTCGGCGAATATCGTCCGAGTAAAGGCGCATAATAATAATAATAATAATAATAACAATGGTAATGCGCGCGGCGCAATGAAAACCCGTTGAAAAGTTATATCCACGGGCCGTCCGTCAGAACGTGCGTGCCACAATGGTTTAAGTTTCGCCGTCCGCGTGCCCGTTTACGCGTCACGTCACGCGTCACGTCGGTTTTCACGCGACAGAAATACAGACGGGGCAGGTAGGCAGGTACCTTTACGGAACGGTAAAAGTTACGCATTATGTAAATATGATTGTAGTGCACAAGTCCGCCCGTTGTCCTCGCGGCGTGACGACGACGTTAAATATTATAATATATCGTTATTACAATGGCGTACGCAACGCGCGTTCATAACGAGTTTCGGACTGGCGGGTAGTGATTTGACCGGAGAACATTCTCGAACGGACGAAGCTCGGACGTACAAAGAACGTTCCGGAGACATTATTTCGTTGTTATTTCGGATCCGGAGCGTACCGCGTTGGTTTTACAGTAATGTTCATTTTTTTTTTTTTTTATACCACGAGCAACTTTTCTACGCTCCGAAATCTCGCTCCGACGCATCGGGTGTGGCGCTTTTTCTGATCCAGTCGATACATTACAGAGGTCATTTTTTGGGTTTTCTTAATAATTCGGGGGAAAAACGGGAAAAACGTACGTGCAAAAGAAACTTCGCTCCGTATCGTTTTCCGTTAGCAACGGTTGCGTACAGATATCAATTAAATTTCCCTGTGTATCCTACCATTCCAACTTCTCGCTATGGACGGAAAAGAGTATAACGATTTCACCATACCTATACAGGGCCAGCCAGTGGTGTGTTTTATCTAGACACGCATAATATTTTTGTCTTTCACAGTGAGATTAATAATCGAATCATCTAGATAGATCATTTCGAATCGTAATGCATATTATTAATTACCACGTTTACGTCATAAAAAAAAACCTACTGCTTAGAATAATACGCAGTAGCTAATACGCTCGAATTCGATTAACAGTAACTGAACCATAGCTATTGCGTATTAGATTGCGGGTTCGTATAAATCTCAAATGATCGGGTCAAACGCGTGTAAAATAAAATATATGCATTTCCGACGAATAATACTGTGGCACTTAATTTCTTATTCATACACGCGCACATAACACACGGTTCGGTTTTCAATTTCTGTCAAAAATATAATTCCACTTGAGACTGCCGTTTACGTGCGTTTCCTATTACCAGAATATTACGATAATTCCACATTTCCACTTGACAATAAATTCGAATAAACGGTAAAGCATATTAAACGCAATATTAACTAAATACGAGTGCGGTACTGCGGGTTAATGCGCACTATGGTGACTCCGCGTAAACGTGGTAAATATGGTTTGACAAACGAATGATTCATTAAGTTACGTTGGATGTGCACCAGATCTCTGTTTTACTTGGACCGGTTTAAGCAGTTCATAATAATAAGTAACGAACACGATTATCTCTTTATTTGTATTTGGATCTTCAATAGTCCAGATTATTTATCTTTGTCTGGATAATTATTCTATAAATTGTCTCTTATCTTTATACGACACTGTGGCTATAGTGTCGGCCGTGCTTTTTATGCAGTTTTATAGCACACGGTTTTAATCAGCAGGGCTAAATATAACTCTGTGTGATTTTCTCGCTATTTTTTATAGAACATTCGATAGATTTCCGTCAGTATAATTTTTTCCCCATAAACGGACACTTTTCTCAGGGCACATTAAACGTTGTCTTAATATAACGAAACAGAATCCGTGTGACGAACCATGACGTGTTTCTTTGATCTTTCCCGATTATGTGGGGCGATCCGTTAATCATGAACAAGCGATTTTCCCGGATGGTTTTAAGCGAGAGTAGTTTTCATTTTTATTTTTTTTATCATAATATGATATCGTTAAAACCCTGATTTAACATTATATTCAATAATTTAAGCCCACTTTTTGTATCTTATAAATAAGTATACTTTTGATTTTTGAATAGAAACCCTCTCCTTTTTAAACATAGACTCGAATAGAGAACATTTTATATTGTCTATTTTATTTATTTACATCTCGTTTACCGTGTTGACAAATTGATCAACGCGTTATAAATTATTATTGATTTAATATTATTGATTTTAATTTTAATTTTTATGATACACACCAAATATGTAACCGTGTTGCTGCCGTACCATATATAAATAAATAAATAACTGCATACAGATATGATTTTTTTTTCTTTTTTAATTTGTTAAGTAAAAAACATAAAAATACACCGTCAACGCTGAAATACATATTTCATAAAAAAAATAAAATAATAATAATAACCGTTTAAATCTGTAACTATACTAATCTGAGCTAACCTAACCTAATTATACAGTGTGTAATGTATATAGTATTTATAGATATAGCTTTATAAAAGAATTATTTATATTTAAAATTATTATGTAAATTACAATAGTTATATATGTATATAATATATTGAATTACGTTTTCCCTACTAAGCAATAGAATATTTTATACAATTTTTTTTTACGACTGGTTTTTTAGCACTAGTACGTTATAATATTCGTTCGTGTAAATTATTATCATTATTTTTATTTTTTATTTTTTTTTTTTTTGTATAATCGTCCGAATATTATTTAATGAACTACGAATATTATAATATCGTTAGAATTAATTAAGTCGCAACTAAGTTTTGCTAAAAAAACGGCGTGGATATAATACGAAACCGCACGAAAACACAGCACTGACCTGACTTAATAGTATCATGTACAAAAAATAAAAAGTTATATTCGTGAATATTCCTAAATCCGATTAACGGTTTTTTCCGTCACTTTTGTGACTGCGGTTTTTCATTTGGACATTTTGATAGTCTTTCTGTTTTTTTCTGTGCGTAATTGGATACCCATATAGTTTACAACACTGAATAATGCAATCATTATACCTTCGCGTTGCACACACAATTTTGTTTGTTATTATTATTTTTAATATGGGGAGTGATAAAAGGAAGTATGTATATATATATATATTATTTTACGACGTAACTATGTGCATTTTCAAATTATTTAAACGTCACTTAAATAATAGTTTTTATAGTGCTGAGGGTGAAAAAATAAATAAAAAGTTATCGCGTAGATGAAATTACATTGACCGAAATAAAAATTTAAAAATAAAACGCTGATAGCGCTGATGGGCGTGCCACTGTT